CAGGTGACTAGGCACCTCATTAAGGAGAGGTTTAAGAATGGTCGTCACTAGCCAACTAAGTCTCTCTGTAGGTGAGTCCACGCAGCTGATGATGGGTCTAACCTTAACCTGCTCAAGAGGGATCGTCGAGCGGAAGCTCTCCGGAGGGTTCTTGTGGGTCTTGATTTGGACGTACATGACTGGGAGGCTGACATGGTCAGGAACTCTGATCCGTAGTTTGTAGTCGTCGTCAAGGTTCCGCTGTGATGAGATCTTCTTCCACAGGTTATTCGACTCCTTCACCAGGTTCTCCGTCTTCTTCTTGATGAGCTGTGTGAGCTGTTGAGAGGTGGGTTCCGCTACTGAGACAGTTTTACCGTTGATTTTTCTCGTGGGAAGCACACGCTGGTACACAGCTGTCTCCTGGAGGTGATTCTCTGTTAGATGCCGATGTGTGTCCTTAGTTGTCACCACAAACTCACCGCACTTGTCTGATACCGACACGTGTAACGTCCTGTCTGTCAGAAGGGAGCGTAAACCATCTTTCTGAAAACGAGTGAGGTTATCCTGTGGGTTGGTGTTAGTCACGAGGTCCTGTACAAAGCGGTTAAACTGTGCCAGCTTGTCCTCTAAAACCGGGTGAGTGGGGTCAGGTGTACTGGTGAATGGTGAGGGAAAGGGACACAATCTCCTCACTTTGCTGGAACTCGACTCCTCGGTGGGCTCAATCGGGGCACTAACTTCCGCACTAGTGTCTGAGTTGGCACGTTGAGTGATAGCGTGTTTGTGTCTGATCTTAAACACACACTGAGCGATATCAACGGCAACTTTATCCTTGAATGACTGGTCAATTCGCGGAGACACGGCGAAGTTAGGTCCGAGAGCTAAAACTGACTTCTGCTGCTCGGAGACACTGTCGATGTTGAGAGTAGTGACTCTGTCGTCAGCAGGTTGAGTAGTGGATGTTCCATAGTATTGTGACACGTGTGACACGTGACCCACGAGTAAGATCACAGCAGTCGCCATGACAACACGTGACATTGAACAGTCTTTGTATCATGTTTATCATACTTATGTTTTATCATTGTCTCATTTCTTTTCTTCATTTCTTTGCTTCAAAGTAACAAAAATATTCTCTTTGTAAAGTTTCAAGTTTTAAAATGGGTTTGCAAAGTTTGCAACAACTTTACCACATACATAATATAGAAAACAACGGGAGGGGGGGGGGGGTCCCGCACATACATATGACCCTAATACATGTTAACTAGGTTACTAGGTTACTAAGTTACTAGGTTACTAAGAGATGACCCTAATACATGGTAACTAATCTATATTATATCTTATATTCTACATCCGGTACGGCTCTGCACACATGATATCTCTCTCTGCCATGAAACATGGCTAACCGTTTAAACTATGATATAAAACCTAAACCTAAACTAAAACTCGACTGGGCTCTCCTGTGTCACCAAACTAGACCAATAAGCAATTTTAGATTATTATATTTTTCTATATTTGTATAATAAGTATATTGACGTAGTGGATGGTTGAGGGGGTTTCAAGCACAGGTCACTCTCAAATCTTAAAGATAAGTAGTGGCCTTCAGCACTTGAAACCTCTTCAAACTTCCCCTGATTTATTTATTATTGATATTGTTTGATTGTGCCGTAAAAATAAATATTTGTTTTATTAAATATTTGTTTTATTATATAATACAACGCACCACGCACACGTTCATGGTACAGATACATCACCGAAAAACGATTTTCGGTTTCACGAATAAAGCAAAAGTATAGGTGCAACAAACTGAAAAATGCCATAATCATAAATTTAAAAATGAAGGACCAAGAATGAAGAGAAGTCAAGAAATTGAACTGCAGTAGAGAAGTTTTTCCGTCAGTTTATGAATATCTGTATGTTAGGAAAGGGGCTATATGGAGCACGGTATAAATTATTATGACACTTTTTGTTATGATGACTATCGTACAATTTATATCATATTATACAATATCTACAGCATCTCCTCAATATATAAAATATCACACATAAAATAAAATATCATTTCTAGGCGATATTAGTCTTTCATTTGGTCAATAAGAGAAAGAATCACCCAAATATACATCGGTTGTTAGGGGACAGATTGTGGTTGCTATGGTGGCCATCGTATTAGAACTACCAGCACATTTTAACAGAACCTTTAATAGCACCCTTACCCTCACCACCCGGCACCCTTACCTCTACCACTCCGCACCCTTAACCTGACAACCCGGCACCCTTACCCCCACCACCCGGCACCCTTACCCTCACCACCGTTAAATATGGCGAGGGTAAGGGTGGTGAGACTCCTTACCCTTGCCGGCACCCTTACCCTTACCAGGCCACCCTTAACCTCACCACCCGGCACCCTTACCCTTACCAGGCCACCCTGAACCTCACCACCCTTACCCTAACCACCCGGCACCCTCACCACCCGGCACCCTTACCCCCACCACCCGGCACCCTTAACCTCACCACCCGGTACCCTTACCCTCACCACCCGGCAACCTCACCCCCACCACCCGGTACCCTTAACCTCACCACCCGGCATCCTTACCCTAACCACCCGGTACCCTCACCACCCGGTACCCTTACCCTCACCACCCGGTACCCTTACCCTCACCACCCATCACCCCTACCCTGGCCCTCACCACCCGGCACCCTTACCCCCACCACCCGGCACCCTTACCCTAACCACCCGGTACCCTCACCACCCGGTACCCTTACCCTAACCACCCGGTACCCTCACCACCCGGTACCCTTACCCTCACCACCCGGTACCCTTACCCTCACCACCCGGTACCCTTACCCTCACCACCCGGCAACCTCACCACCCGGTACCCTTACCCTCACCACCCGGTACCCTCACCACCCGGTACCCTTACCCTCACCACCCGGTACCCTCACCACCCGGTACCCTTACCCTCACCACCGGCACCCTTACCCTCACCACCCGGTACCCTCACCACCCGGTACCCTTACCCTCACCACCCGGTACCCTCACCACCCGGTACCCTTACCCTCACCACCCGGTACCCTTACCCCCACCACCCGGCACCCTTACCCTCACCACCCCGCACCCTTATCCTCACCACCCGGCACCCTTAACCTCACCAACTGGCACCCTTAACCTCACCACCCGGCACCCTTACCACCCGGCACCCTTAACCTCACCAACTGGCACCCTTACCCTCACCACCCCGCACCCTTATCCTCACCACCCGGCACCCTTAACCTCACCAACTGGCACCCTTAACCTCACCACCCGGCACCCTTACCACCCGGCACCCTTAACCTCACCACCCATCACCCCTACCCTCACCACCCGGCAACCTTACCCTCACCACCCGGCACCCTTACCCTCACCACCCGGCACCCTTACCCTCACCACCCTTACCCTCACCACCCTTACCCTCACCACCCGGTACCCTTACCCTCACCACCCGGTACCCTCACCACCCGGTACCCTTACCCTCACCACCCGGTACCCTTATCCTCACCACCCGGCACCCTTACCCTCACCACCCCGCACCCTTATCCTCACCACCCGGCACCCTTAACCTCACCAACTGGCACCCTTAACCTCACCACCCGGCACCCTTACCACCCGGCACCCTTAACCTCACCAACTGGCACCCTTACCCTCACCACCCCGCACCCTTATCCTCACCACCCGGCACCCTTAACCTCACCAACTGGCACCCTTAACCTCACCACCCGGCACCCTTACCACCCGGCACCCTTAACCTCACCACCCATCACCCCTACCCTCACCACCCGGCAACCTTACCCTCACCACCCGGCACCCTTACCCTCACCACCCGGCACCCTTACCCTCACCACCCTTACCCTCACCACCCTTACCCTCACCACCCGGTACCCTTACCCTCACCACCCGGTACCCTCACCACCCGGTACCCTTACCCTCACCACCCGGTACCCTTATCCTCACTAACGTCTACCTCTCACATCATCCGTCCTGATACACACGCATTATCGTCTACCCACTTATAGCGTCTACCCACCTAGTGTCTGTCCACTAATAACACAGTTGATAACGTCATCTAACCAATGAGAAGGAGGCGCCCCTCCCACTGAAGGAGGGTCCAGTCTTTATACCCCTCCTTTATATTACAGGGTCCATGCTTTGTCTATGTGAAGTGTGGACAGTGCTGAATGACTGCCACACATCATTCGCATTTGTTCACTGTAAACAAAGACATTGTGAAACTCGTTAGTAGTGGAGGTTAGAAACAGTTTCAGTTCACAGCCACTCTTGCTTCGTCTTCCTTCCTTGACCTTCTCCCGATATTTGAGCTCTTACTCTCGCTTTATTCCAGTAAATTGTTACTTAGTATCTTCTTAAGCTAATTATTCTTTGTAAATGCTTCCAGAGGTTACATCCCCACCAGTTGCCTGTTGACGCCCCCCCCCCCCACTGATCCCCACCAGTTGGTGCCCCGCCACTGATCCCCACCCTTAAAAAGAGAGAGTTTCTGTCAGTAAGACCCAATGGTCCATATAAAGGTTAGACGGTTTGATTGTAACCCACACTAACAAGTACTTTAACAAGTACTTTACAGGCCATCATATCATATAATGGACTTTAACCACTAATTACGATTATGGTTGACAAGGTGACACATGGGGACACTGTGCAGTGTGCATGTATTTATGTGACAGGAGCTAGGGTAGATGTGTCATTGTACACTCTCTCTCTCTCTTTAGTCTTGTACTTGCTTCTCGGTTCGCTTTAGTGATCAGTATGATATGTTTTATTGTAGTTACCCGACCTCCATTCCCCAGGCCTCCCGAATAAAAGAGATGAGTTTTACATAATTTAAATATAAAACCAGTACTTTGTGGAAGGGAAAAGTAAGTGAGGTATATGATAGAGCCTAGAGGCGTGACCGTATTCTTTAAATACCACATAAAACACATACACAGGGTCTCACTAAAACAACCCCCCCCCCTCTAATACGTACCTCCAGCCAGAGTGTCTCCGGTATCGTGGTCCCAGAACTTAGGTCCTATAGAAACTCCCGGTACTACATCCGAGATATTGTGTACCCGGTCTGTTATTACTGTAGGAGTCCTGAACGGGAGGAGGTAAAGTTTAGTATGGTTTAGATGTTATGTTGGGGGGCCGGGGGGGGGGGGGGGGGGGCTGACCATATTAAACTATATAAAAAAGTAGGTATATTTGCCAATCTAAACGAAGATTATGGGTATGTTAAAGTATAAACCCCATGTTATAGGCATATAGTATATTATATATATATTGAAACACCCTGTATATATTATATGATACTACTTTTTGTGCTCTTCAGATGTTTCGAGCTTAGAGGGGATCCAATAATATCTGTACAATATTTCGCTTTATCACACTGCCCAGTAGATACCAATTTAAACCTATTTCATTAACTAATAATAATAATATAATAATAATCGATAAAGTTTTTCAAGTTTAACTAGGGTTAAAACAAAGATTTACATTATAAATCGGTAACCTAATGTTATCTTACGTTTGGTAAGGATGGTGGGCCAGGTTGGACAGCAACTTAACTTCGTTCTTACCTATCATTTTATCCCAGGATACGCCTGAAGAATGTGGGGTAAGATAAATCAAAATAGGATTACTTAACTAATTAATTAATTAATTAATTAATTAATAGGGACACCAACAATGAATAATGGAAGTGCCGTAAAAAGGTGTGTGTGGGAACTGTGATAATGGCAGAAATAAAAAATGAATGGTCATTGGTCAATAGAACAAATGTAGAGCATATAGATAAGGCACTATCTAGAATCTAGATGAGTATGGGGCAAATCGCTATACGAAATAGGGAAACCAACAAGGAGAGGGTTATGGAGCAACAACCTGTGACAATTAGGCAAAGATCTAAGTTGTCAGAAATTTAATCGTATGGTTTAGTGGATAATTACAGCTAGTAATAGTAATTTGACTATCAGAGTATATTCAAACCTCCTGTACATTATTGTCTATTCTTGTATCCTAGTCCGAGACTTTCTTGAATGATACGAAATATTTCAGCCCATCCGAATACTCCATAGTTTGAACCGTTTATTGTGTATCTTTCCAAAAACTCCGCAAGAACTTTAAGCACGAGATTTTGGGTACGACTTGCTTTATTTCAAAAGAAAGTGTATTCAGAACCACGCATGTGCATCAGCAGATTTTGCACGTGCTGGTTTTGCACATGCTGGTTTTGCAAGTGCTGTAACGTCGCGCGCGGACCAGTACACGCTAGTAAACATCATCGTTTATAAACACTGTACACTGAGGGACATTGTGTCTTGTGTATAATGACGTACACAGTAGTGCACCCCTCATTGTAGTAGTGTAGTAGAGTTCAGTAGTAGAAGTAATATAGTTTATTAACTTATATAATATATTGTAATATAGTATAATAGTGTATACACTTAAACTGTACATACAAAGTAAACTGAACTGTGTACAGTAAACAAAGGTTTATCAATAGCTGGTGCCGCACTGAATGCCAATTATGAGTCTTTATAAACACTAAAAAGACCTTTGTTGTTTTCTTTAACTTTTATACTCGATATTACGTTATCGTTTTGGCGTTTATGGTCACCTTCATTGTACAATCTTCAAAGATAAAACTTAAAAGTTTTGGTTGATTGATCCGGTAAATCACAAACCGGTTTTTTAATAATAATTAAAATCTGTTACCATCAGTACCATTATCTTTATACCACTAAACTTATGTACATTATCTTTATTATTATCTTTATTCGCTCGATACAACTAAACGTATGCTCTGATCATTTTACCATAACCTAAGCGCGATAAAGGGACTGATTTAAATATTTTACATAATATTTGAATAGGTGACCCACAGTGATCCTCCAGTGATCACCATACCCGTGTGAATTCATTAAACCCTCTTTTTAATAGCCTTTATACCGGTTTACAATCTTACTCTGTCTAGCGCATGTATAAGGCATGTTCTAGAGTATTTGGCATGTATCATCATTGTCCGCGAGGATTATTACCATAATTTGTTACAATCTGGACAGCTGTAATTACTACTCTGAAGTGACTTGTAACCATAGTAACCATGGTAACCATGGTAACCATGGTAACTACAACTCAGCAATCCTTCTTTTCTGCTTAGACTGATCGTTATTTGTTGTATCGTAACCATACCAACCAGACTACATTTCTCAGTAATAACAATGCCAACAAAAATTGAACATTATTTAGGTTGTATCCATGCCAACAAACAACTGCCATTATTTTGGTTGCACAATCAGGCTATAATTATGACATAAGACTCGTTAGCGTACCATGAACCAGCTTATCGACCAATAACTTGGTAATTACCCAACAGCTACAAAGTATAGACCCCCCACAAATCTTGAGCGCTATTATATATTATTACCTATTATCCAGGTGAGGGTGAGGGGCCTCCCTATTGTCACGTGACACCACGAGATAACACCCTTTAATCACGTGATAACACCCTTTAACATCCCACGTGTAGATACCTGCTTTTGTTTCATCAGTCCAGGTTGCTAAGTAACAACCTATACACACATGATAATTACAGTTAGATAATGCCTGTCGCCAGGATACGATAGCTGAAAATGACGTTCGTTCAAGGGATTATCGTCTGTCATTAACAAAGTTTGTGTTGTGAAGGCATGGCAACATTATCTATAAACTACTGTATTTCCTGGTGTAGTAGGAATCTGTGTCTTCATTTCTGGACTTGCTATCCTCCGTAAGTTTTACTGAGAGAGAGAGGGAGAAACTTTGTGTTTCTGTTACAGTAGCAGGGTTACAGTTAACTTTCTGTTACAGTTAACAGTCCAACCTCCAAGGTTCAAACTTTTTATTTTAATCTGCTATCAACATCTTGAACAGATGTACTGTTTAATTAATCATTATCCTCCTAAAGTTTAGAAAGTTGGTGTTTGTGGGAGCTCATCGTTTAACCTGTGTCATTACAGTTAATATTACAGTTGTTACAGTTAATGGTACACAAAACTCAATATATCTTCAAAACGGTACTCTTTATGTTGCAGTGCTAACTCTTGTTGCGGTACTTATTAATATTATGTCCTGCTGTACTGCGCGTTCTTTGAGTAGGTTTCTATAATAACGTGGGTTAAAGTTTTGTTTTAAATTCGGAATTTAGGATAAAGTGTGCAGTTTCACGCATCCTATTGCAAAATATTTTCTATAAAACTTTGCAAAATATTGTCTATAGAACTTTTCAGATCCGGTGAATGTCTGCATCTTCTATAGGTAGCAGCGAAGGGCGCCGGAAATTTTACTTAGTCATGGTTCTTTGCGTGAGGGTTGAGGGAGAATTGAAAATTTAGAGGCAATGTTCAACTAGACCTATTCCCAGAACAGCTAAGAGTTGGGATAACACTATATTTTAGTTATGGGATAACACTATTTAGTTATGGGATTTAGAAAAAATATTTGCACAAACAATATATACTGTATTAGTGCTTTTCATGCAACAAGTAAAACAAATCCTTTATGTCATGTTTCCAGGGTTTGGACTGGAATTGCCTGCTTAAAGAACCTCCATCGCATTACATTACATAATTTTCTGAAACATATATTACATTTACAATAAATTATGCAATATCACAACATTACATATGTATAATATGGGAACCGGTCACGAGGAAGAAGGTCGGACACGAGGCCCTCGTGTCCTACGCCTTCGTGTCCTCCGCCCTCGTGTCCTCCGCCCTCGTGTCCCATACCCCTGCTAGGGTCAACTTATAACCAATTTATTATTATTTATTCTACGAGTAATTTACTTTAGGATACACGTTACTTGCTACAAAGGAGCCGCAATATTTGATTTAATTTTCCAAGACAAAAAGTAAAGATCAGTATCTTTGTTAGCAGTGCTTGTTTACTTCCAATTAAAAACAAGGATGTTATTCAGGGGTGTAACTTAGCGCATGCAGCGCATCTATACTATTCTATAGTCTACTGTTAAGAGCTTTTGTTAGAAACGTGAACTGTTATTCTATTCTGATTGAATAGAATAACAGTTTATTGTCTTTCGATTGTCTTCCCTTCTGAAAACTTCAACTCTTCTGATTAACTTTCGTGCATTCATGATAACAGTTTTAAAACTTGATGATTTCTTGGCAATAACTTTAAAGCACTAAAAGTGTCTGTTCTCATGCTAAGTATAGGCTTATATAGTAGCTGGCAGGATCACCTGTTCACAAGCTCATAGCGAGAACAGCAAAAATACAGTTCCATTAGCATTAACGTTTATGTGCATTTCGTTATCCTTTACGTCTTTAAAGGCTTTTTTCTTTGCAATAGTTCTCTGTTGCAGCTTGACAATGTGGTCAATTTCTATGTTAATTAAGGTGTAAAGGATTACCTCAATCTGTCTAATGCATCGAATTTGGTGGCTTATTCGGCGATAAAATATATCATAAATATAGTAGTTTAACTTTTAATTCGAATCATAGCATAAAAATAAAAATGCGCATGAAGAACATTAGCTTAGGGAGTGTTGCCATGCATTGACAAGTTTCAAGATGTCATGCTTGGTGAAGTCTGGGTCGTCTGAGCAACTAAACTAAACTATAATGATGTAATGCCCTTACCATAACTGTTATTTAACTAAGTCACCCCAATTACCTCATAACTAAAATAATTTGCTCCCATTAAGGGCCCATTAGCTGAAGCACGCGCAGAATTTACAGTGATGACCGGAATATAACGTGATAAAACGGTTCATTGAAAATATTGGAAGATTACGCTAAATTGAGCCTACTCGATAATAAATCTTGTGCACGACAACCTACACGCTGCAGTCTCTATAGCGAGTGAGAGAGATCCACTAATCCTAGTTGATACATATCCAGATCAGTACAAAGTTGCAACACTAATAATGCTCCATATCCACTAAACTGCTGCAGATAGTGTTTAAATACGCTTGTACTTTGTGTGGAGTTTAATTTGTACATAACAATAAACAGTGCGGCGGGGAGCGGAATTTGCAAGCACTGCACTTGAAAATATATTACCTGCCTCGGTGACGACACTTTGACGTTCTTATTCAATTGTGATGTTGTGAATTTTAGTTCTTGATTATATGCTTGATTTTTTGTTTGTAATAGTCTAGTTTTTTTTCTCGATGCGATCATTTTTCAGTTGTGTTTGCATTTAGTGTTTGTATTTCATTTGTATGGTAGTTTTGTCTGAAGTTAATCCGCTCTTGTTGTTTTACTGAATTATGCAACATATTCACGTGTTGTAGAATGATATTTCGAGATATCTTTTAGGATATCTTAGTTTTAGCCTAAAAGTATTAAGGGGTCGGGCTATCTGGATACTGCCAAAGTATTAATTAAGGGACGTTTGAGACTTGAGAGACGTTTAAGGGATGTTTAAGGGACGTGAGATATATCGTTTCTAAGATAACACCCAGTTTCCTCCTCACAGTAAACATGGACGCGCACCTGATGGACTGGGGGATGTCAGCCTCTAAAGACACTATATTCTACATCATGAACAGTCAGGAGTGTCCGATTGTTAAGTACAATGATACCAACAGTTACACTGCTCTTAACGTACTGTGGGGCCTTTTCTTCCTTGTTCTAGGAGTTTGTGAGTATTACTTTCACTTTCATTTTTATAGATATAATTTCACTTTCACTTTCATTTTTACAATTTTATCTTTAGTTGTGAGCTGAATGCATTGCACTGGGAAACGATTAACACTATTACAGGTACAGTGCTATTGAATGTAACAGCTATACGGGGGCTATACAGTACTACTAGTAGAACGGGAGACCTCTTCAAACCGGTAATAAGAAAATAACAGTTGCAATAATAACAGGACAAGTCACTGATTGGAACCAGCTTTGTTTACTGGTTAATGTTTACTCAAGAATTTATACATACAATTATATAGAATAGTTATATACCTAAATCTGCTAATATAAAACCAAAATAGCTCTAAGAATAAATAATCTAAATACTTCAGAGCTTAATATACAAATCAAAATAAAATTCTAGAAGACTGACAGTCTTAGGATAAGAGTATATTCCACGTGACTAGGATAAAAGTATATCCCATTTGTTTCTAGCATGTCATGTAAACTCTGTAGACTGTATATCAGCCTTGGTTAACTGACAAACTATGATTGGGTAAATCATAAATAAAATACATACTATAAATATTTAAAATAAGTTATAAATATTTATAATAACAAGTTATAAATGTTAACAACTGTAATTTGCAGGTAATATACGTGAATATCTCTATACTGGACGTTGTGAGTGGACTGTGTACGCTGCTGAGTGGGGGGATAATGTTATCTAACTTCACTTGGGATGAGAGCGATGGTGGAGGTGAGAAAACATACAAACATACAAACATACAAACATACAGACATATAGACATACATATAGACATACAAACATACAAACATACAAACATACAAACATACAAACATACAAACATACAAACATACAAACATACAAACATACAAATATACGAACATACAAACATACAAACATACAAACATACAAACATACAAACATACAAACATACAAACATACAAACATACAAACTATAAAAATACAAACATACAAACATACAAACATACAAACATACAAACATACAAACATACAGACATACAAACATTCAAACATACAAACATACAAACATTCAAACATACAAACATTCAAACATACAAACATACAAACATACAAACAAACAGACATACAGACATACAGACATACAGACATACAGACATTCAAACATACAAACATACAAACATACAAACATACAAACATACAAACATACAAAGCAAACATACAAATTTTCAGACGAACAGAAATACTGACAGATAAACATACACGAGCATAAAAAGTAATCGTACCTGTTTTATGATTGAAATTCCTGTCGAAGCTAAATTTATACTCCTTTGTATTGTTTTTCTTCGTGGAATAGGGCTTGTTTCCACCACCTGAAGAGATTAAATATCACTGCTCTAGTTAAATTAAAACGACACAATGACACATATCTAAAATGTAATATCTTTAACGTGTCCTCCTCAAAAAAACTAGCTTAATAATGGAAAAATCAAATAAATGGAATGGAAAATTTGCGAAATTTGTGCCCAAAATCATGGTAACCAAAATTATAGTAACCAAATTTATTGTGACCCAAATTTGTTTGTCCTAAGGTAAATCTAAACGACACAATGACAAATGTAATATCCTCCGCAGGACAATTCCTCTGCAATATATTCTATTAATATAGTAATTTAAAAATTTGAAGACATTCAATTTTCACCCAATTGACTTTATATTTGGGGATATGGTAGGTATGGTTCCACAGATTTTCGTACTGGTATAGTTTTTTAAAGGGCCTATGTCGACATAGGCCCTTTCTATTTGTAGGTGACGACATATCTAAAACGTGTCCTCCCCAGGACAGTGGCGTAACGTTGCCTTTTAGCGCCCCCCCCCCCCCCCTCCCCCGAAAAAGCGCCCTCCTGTTGGCGCCCCCTCCCCTTTCGTTATACGTATCTAAAATGTGATTGTAATATCCTCCGCAGGACAATTCCTCTGCAATATATTCGGAATCCTGTTGACCCTGGTGGTACAGGCCGATACCCGTAACCAAAATTATAGTAACCAAATTTATTGTGACCCAAATTTGTTTGTCCTAAGGTAAATCAAAACGACACAATGACACATGTAATATCCTTCCCAGGACAGTTCCTCTGCAATATATTCTATTAATATAGTAATTTACAAATTTGAAGACATTCAATTTTCACCCAATTGACTTTATATTTGGGGATATGGTAGGTATGGTTCCACAGATTTTCGTACTGGTATAGTTTTTTAAAAGGGCCTATGTCGACATAGGCCCTCTCTATTTGTAGGTGACGACATATCTAAAACGTGTCCTCCGCAGGACAGTTCCTCTGCAATATATTCGGAATCCTGTTGACCCTGGTGGTACAGACTAAAGTAATGCTGATGTCAGGAGGACTGTTAATCTCGGTGATAGCCTTGGTTTCTGGCTCCAAGATAGAACACTCAACTGCTGTGCGGATCTCTGCTGTAGTAGTGGTCCTGTCATGGGTTGTGGGCATCATCCACGCTTTCTTACCCTACATGTAGGTTTTATGTTATCTCTTTACTTGTTCCTTCCCTACATGTAGGTTTTATAATATCTCTTTACATGTTCCTACCCTACATGTAGGTCTTATATTATCTCTTTACTTGTTAATACCCTACATGTAGGTTTTATGTTATCTCTTTACTTGTTCCTACCCTACATATAGGTTTTATGTTATCTCTTTACTTGTTCCTACCCTACATGTAAGTCTTATATTATCTCTTTACTTGTTCCTATGAATAGGCACGAATATGCTGTACATCTTAAAAAGTGTTTCATTGTCCCGGTTACATTACAGGATTAAGACGAACCATATGATGGTGTTTTTACATATTTAACATTTACGAATGTATGTTTGACATGATTACTAGTGTGGTTCGTTTGTTCGCAGTTATAACTGTGTTTCACCCCTGTACTCCTCCTCAGGTTCGGCTCAGTTTACACTCAGCCTGACTACCTGACCATCTGTATCGGCAGCTTCGCGAGGATGAGCAACACTAAAACAGGTCAGTAGCCCCCAGTGTCCACTAGTGTGTATAGTCTATATAACTAGTAGTGTAACTATGGTAACTAGTAGTCTATAGTCACACCCTTACTGTAAGATCCTTAGTACTGATCCGCAGTTACGGACCAATGTAATAATATGTATTAAACCTTGACGGCTTGTCAGAGGACAAAGGAACCGAGAGTGAAGGATGGTTAGATCATCATACCTTATTAGTTATTACCTCATCCCCGTATTCGGGAACATGGATCTCGATACTGGGGGGGCCGGGGGGTTAGGTGGAGGGGGTTCAGTATTCAGTATCGACCAATCAAAACCCAGAATCAATGCCACGAGTCACACTAGTATTCAGATTACATATCAAATGATGGAGTGGTTCGCTGTTCATTAGTCTCATGATTGAAATACTGATAGTTGGATAATACCCGGTTAGGAGAGACAAGGACAGATTACTTTGTTTGAGCTCTATTCGCAAATATACACCACCCAACAAAATCATACAAAAATATGCAATATTTAGACTACCCTTGGAGTGAAGTGCTTAAGTGTGTACCATATGTGTACAGATACACGAGTATTCCATAATACTTGCACTTATCTCCCACCCCACTCCCAGTATAAACAAGGACAGATTACAGTAGTAACACTAACTTCTCCCCCAGATAACTACTACTCCGGTCAGCTGATAATGCTCTTCATACCTCTAGTTCTGGGCTGTGTTATCTGCTGCTTTACTATACCCGGCATGATATCCGCCAAGAGGAGCACTCAGGTAACTATGGTAACTAGTAGTGTAACTATGGTTACACTCAGGTTTTTTACTTTTTGAAAATTCAACATTTGAGAATCAAGCGTTACATTTCAGCCATGCAAAATTAAACTGACATTATTTTGAGATAAAGTTATATTAGGGTACAGCTGCATTTTAAAGAAATCGCGGTCGTAAGTAAGTTGTGCTTACCAACTTAAACCAAGCACCTTCACCTAACGGCCCCAACGGTAATCTTTCTGCTCTTCTACATTTGTAGCAGAGAGGATTACACTCAACAATAACCATGTAAAGAATTGAGTGTGTTACTATGGTAACTAGTAGTGTAACTATGGTAACTAGTAGTGTAACTATGGTAACTAGTAGTGTAACTATGGTAACTAGTAGTGTAACTATGGTAACTAGTAGAGTAACTATGGTAACTAGTAATGTAACTATGGTAACTAGTAGTGTAACTATGGTAACTAGTAGAGTAACTATGGTAACTAGTAATGTAACTATGGTAACTAGTAGTGTAACTATGGTAACTAGTAACGAATTGCTCTCTCTCAGGTCTACAAATGGGATGATGAGTTATGGGGAGTATTCACCATGACCATGCTGTTCATGAGTTACCTTATCTGTCACGCAACCTACTTCATAGTTCATTTGTCTGGCATGTCAGAGATGGACGAGAAGAGGACTATTGACTTCTGCAAACTTAGTCTCCTCAATATGAGATACTTCTTCGCTTTCATGGTCTTCACCATGTACCTATCAGGTATGTACTTTACTGTGCACATTTACCATGTACCTATACATACTACTTCTACACTACTTACTGTACTCCGCAGTACTTACACACTCTCAACTGATAACCATTGTTGCGTGTGTTACTATGGTAACTAGTACTGATAACCATTGTTGCGTGTGTTACTATGGTAACTAGTACTGATAACCATTGTTGCGTGTGTTACTATGGTAACTAGTACTGATAACCATTGTTGCGTGTGTTACTATGGTAACTAGTACTGATAACCATTGTTGCGTGTGTTACTATGGTAACTAGTACTGATATATAACCATTGTTGCGTGTGTTACTATGGTAACTAGTACTGATAACCATTGTTGGGTGTGTTACTATGGTAACTAGTACTGATAACCATTGTTGCGTGTGTTACTATGGTAACTAGTACTGATGACCATTGTTGCGTGTGTTACTATGGTAACTAGTACTGATAACCATTGTTGCGTGTGTTACTATGGTAACTAGTACTGATATATAACCATTGTTGCGTGTGTTACTATGGTAACTAGTACTGATAACCATTGTTGTGTGTGTTACTATGGTAACTAGTACTGATAACCATTGTTGCAGGAATAGCAGAGCCCCTCAGCTACCTGACCACCAACATGGCACTGAGAGAGAAAGTTTGCGCTAGATTCCCCGACATAGGAGACTCAGAAGACACCGTCTCACCGGCCAGCACAGGGAACAGAGTCACACCTCTACTGATAGAGATCAGACACAGGGAGGAGGAGGTGTCAACTCCTAAACGAGAAATACAACAGGTCCCCATCCAGCCAGAAGGGACGGAAATTTGAACTAGATTTGACAATAGTAACCACAATTATAGCACAGGCATCGTTCCAATTTTGACCGTGACCGAGAAATACTCGGAAATTTGTCTAATTTCTGATAGCGAGACGACGCCGGATTTAGAGTGCAGTAAATCAATGCACCATTGAAGTGAAAGTTGTATTTGTAAATAAGCGGGCTGATTATGACAATAACGAAGCCATTTTATATGAAACTAAAGCTCCCAAATAGAAAACTAGAAACTTATTGGGCAATAGGCCAAGTTAGCAAGAGTAAATATTTTTAGATATTTTTTAGTAAACCATTGTTGAAGATGTAAATATAACTTGACGCTATTTTGATCATTTTGGTGTTTCATTCGTTTCAAAGTTAAATAATCGTTAATTTGAACCGAACCTTTGAAGAAGTACAATTAAACAGAACCGACGTAATGTCGCACTAGATTTTGATGAACGCATTTGCTGGACAGGCAATTTTAAAAAGGAACTACAGTCTTAGTTGTGTCAGTTTGTTACCAAATTACAAAATGAACTTGCTCAAGAAATAAATAAAAATGCAAACAATGAATTCAAAAACTTACGACTCTTCCTCCCTTCTCCCATGCATCTGATAATCTGGTGACATACTTTAGGAACTTCTCGATGCTTCCTCTTTAACATCCTAAATGTAGATAAGTTTTAGACAATAAATTATCTCAATTGTGAAGCATGGGCTCCAAAATCTATAATTCGGCGTGGTAGAATTTGTAAACATGTGCCCAGAAACGCGCGCGCGCCAAGCGCGCAATTTGAATGTCGGAAAATGATCTTAAACAGACAATTTGTCTTTGCGCCTTACTGACAAGACAATATTTGATCGTGACCGATATACTGCTTCTCTGTCCAAGTGAAGTTTACGAATAACGAACCAATAGTAATAAAACACGGAGAGATAAATTGCTATATAAAATAAAATTAGCTGATGAAATCTGTTTTGCGGGGTCACGCTTATATATACAAAATGCGATAAATTAATTGATTAAATTGAACATTAAAAACTATGAATAGATACAATTGAAAACAACAATTCAGTAAAATACTAAACTTTTCAATTTAGATAATTGTTTTCATTTAAAATAAGGACTATAAGTGGGGTCAGTGTCCTTAATTCGTTTTGATTTATTCGATATGTCCCCAGAATTTCCCTGATTAACAGCCCTTTTCAACCTAACTGATCTCCTTCTAATGACACTACCATCAAACTCCTCATCTTGCTCAAGTTTAATGTTGATATCATTACTGACAACCTCATAAGGTTCAATTTTAACTTTCCCTCCCTCTGTAATAACACTGTTCATGACTTCTTGTGGCTCAGTTTTAATTTTCACCTCTGCTTCCTCTCTTTTTGCGTTAGCCCCCTCGGTGGTCTCACTCTTATCTAAAGGCTCAGATTTAACTTTCTTTGATCTGGGAGTATTTTTGGGCTTCGTTTCTTTATCAAAATATTCACTTTCAGTTTTCACATCCACCCCCTCTGATTGGATGCCGTTTTCAGAAGGATAACATTCAATATTCTTTGATCTACAACTTCGTCTAGGCTTTGTTTCTTTATCAAAATATTCACTTTCAGTTTTCTCTAATGGCTCAGATTTAACTTTCCTTGATCTGCTGTTACGTTTGGGCTTGGTATCTTCCTCCAAACTATCATTTTCCTCAGATTTAACTGGCTTGACAGTATGTCTGCTGTGTTTCCCTTTCCCAAACTTCAAGCTGTGCCACATAGTCCTCCCCTTCTTATCTACACTGTTCCCCATTCCATTTACCATGTAACACTGCAGCCACGCCTCAAACACACCGTGGTCCCCGTATATACCCTCCGGGTCATAAGGCTTACCGGACCCCTTCAAGTTTATCACCTCCCAGCAAACATCATGACACATTCTCAGGAGGTCCGGGTTGTTGTCACACGAAACTTCCGGCAGATTCTCAAGAACTGATCTAGCTGAACAATAAGGGTCTATGTCTAGACGGTAAAGGATTTCAGCTCTGAGGTAGTTACCAATGCTGCTAAAATACCGCTGGTCCAACATGACCTCACATATTGGCTTATCAAACACTGGTTTATCAAGCAGTGATAACAAATATTTCCGGAACAGTTGGTATTCAGTTATAATGCTAGGGCCACGCTTTGTTTGGGGAGACCACTCGTCAGTCAGTATCCACCTTCCAAAGTGACGAGTATCAACAAAAGAGAATGTTTGATCATCTGTTGTATCAAACATTAACAGCGAGTGTTTCCTAGTCTCCCCTGTCTTTGTCATGGCAAATCTACCGGCCATGCCAAAAGTCAGAAGAATGTTTAAAGTTTCCGGAAAAAACTTATCATTTTTAACCTCATCCTTCAGAGATAACTCTGTGAAAGTAATCCTGATTTCCTTACCTCGTGCCTCCCCAGCAAGAGAGAAACTTGGTTTAGTCCATGGAATAAGAGGGTGTTTGTGACTTGGCTCCTTGAGAGGGCGGACCTTCTTAAAGATGTGTTGGGAGGCAATGTGGTTGAGAAAGGTAGCTGCTTTGTAGAGTTCAGGACCTTCGGGCATTGTGCCAGGACATGAACTGAATGGTAGATTCAGTGAGTGAAATATTGTGTACAAGTTGAAATCAAGTGCTTCAGGTTATTTATTAACATCATCTACAGAATGTCATAAGTCTAGTGGTGATTTCAATTATCAAATACTGAATTATATGGAATTGTTAACGGAATAAAGCTACAAAAACAAGTAACCTAAAATAAGTAACATGATCAATTGATAACTTTGTGAGTCATTAATATTATTGAAATGATATAATGATGATTACATCATGTAGTAATGGATACAGCAACCAATTACTGGTATAAATAGATATATGCTTTTAAACTTTTGAAAGATCACCCAAATTTGATCAAGAGAATAAATTTAAATTTAAATAACATTCAAGCACATTGCACAAGCAAGCAAAATTGTATCATAAGATGTTCATTAGAAATGGAACTGTCATTTGATTTCGAAATTGAACAATTAGATATGATGTATATTGAAGGTCATATCTTGCTGTGACTAACCACTGTTAGTCATAGAGCACCGAGCACCGTATTTTGAGAGACATTTTCGTTTTATAATAAATAAATAAATAAATAAATTCTAACATTTATTACACGCTTCGACATTAAAATATACCCAACAAAGATGTACATTAAAGTCATTCAAGCGAGACTTAGTGTTGAAATAGCAAGATTATGGACTTTTTAAACAGTTCAGATTTTATGAACAAATATTTGTATGAAGTTACCAATGCACTTTCATATCAGTTCAGACATTATGGACAAATATTAGAAATATTATCAAAAGCTAGTTGGAAATAAAACGTCTTAAGGGCATTTTTAAAACATTCTACAGATGATAATGATCTCACTGAGTAGGGTAGTTCATTCCAAATTTTTGGTCCACAAAACATAAATGCAGCATCTGTTCGTCTGAAATGAGGAGCAGGAGGAACTTTCAACAAATAAAAGTCATCATCTAGTCTGGAACTTTGTCTTCGTACTTCCCTTAGATTGACGTGTCCTTGTAAGTACTGAGGGGCTATGTTATTAAGACACTTGAAGACCAGAAGTGATATTTTGAACTTAATTCTGAACCGAACAGGCAGAAAGTGGAGCTTTTTGAGGTAAGGCATGATAGGTTCACGTATCTTTTTTCCGTAAAGACCAAAGATAAATCTAGCAGCATTGTTCTGTATCTTTTGTAGCTTATGAAGATTCTTTTCTGTTAGTCCATAATAGACTGAGTTGCAGTAGTCTATGAAACAGAGGATATTGGAGTGAACTAGCTGAACTTTTAGGTCATGGGAAAGCTTCGAACCGATTCTTGCTAAGTCCCTTTGATTCAAATAACATACTTTGGAGACAGCATTTATTTGAGAGTCCAGATTCATTTGGTGATCGAAAAGGAATCCCAGGTTCTTGGCCTTGCTAACAGGGCAGATTGAGAGGTCTCCTAAATCCATTGTCTGGATTGGGCTGACATATGGTCCTATATCAATGAACTCTGTTTTTTCATCATTCAGTTTTAGGAAGTTAACTGTCATCCATTGCTTTATCTCCAGAAAGCAATTTTTCACAGCTGTTAAATCAGGATTAGAACTGTGAACATCAAAAGTAAAGTACACCTGTGTGTCATCTGCATACAAATGTATCGAGAAACCATATTTTGTGACAATTTCTTCAAGATCTCTGGTATACAATATGAACAGTAGTGGTCCTAAAATGGATCCTTGAGGTACACCAATATCCAGATAGCCTTCAGAAGATGTGGCTTTTTTTACTTTAACCTTGAATGTGCGATTATTAAGGTAACATTGTAACCAGCTGAGCGCTAGTTCTGTAATACCATACGCATTCTTGAGTTTCGTAAGTATACATTTTGAGACAAGTTTTATAAAACACCCCCCCCCCCCCCCCCCCCCCCCTTAAGATTTGATGCCTAATATGAGAACTAACATGGGTTTTCATCTGAATAAGATCTCTAATGATGAGTTTTTTTATGAGTTTGGAAAGAGTCTATACAAGTAGCAGCACAGTCACAGTCTACACATTTAAATGGTTTTTCACCGGTATGTGTACTTTGATGGATCGTAAGATTTGATTTCCTAGCAGTAGCATAGTCACAATCTAAACATTAAAAAGGTTTGTCACTGGTATGTTTCCTTTGATGGGTTCTAAGCGATGATTTTGAAGTAGTAGCATAGTCACAATCTAAACATTTAAATGGTTTGTCACCAGTATGTTTCCTTTGATGGATGATGAGATCTGATTTCCTAGCAGCAGCATAGTCACAATCTAAACATTTGAACGGTTTGTTTGCAGAATGTGTATTTTGATGCATGGTCAGAGATGATTTCCTAGCAGTAGCATAGTCACAATCTACACATTTGAATGGTTTGTCACCAGTATGTGTACGTTGATGCATGGTCAGAGATGATTTCTTGGCAGTAGCATAGTCACAATCTACACATTTGAACGGTTTATCACCGGTATGTTTCCTTTGGTGGATGGTAAGATTTGATTTCCATGCAGCAGCATAGTCACAATCTAAACATTTAAATGGTTTGTCACCAGTATGTTTCCTTTGGTGGGTGGTAAGATTTGATTCTATATTAGTGGCATAAAAGCAAACTGTGCATTTGTATCTCTTAACATTAGTTGGGGGTTTCTGACACTCAAGAGAGTCACCAGGAACATTTTCACAAGGTGCCCATTCCTCTTTATCAGATATCTGCTGAGTTAACTGTGTACTGTCTGGATGATCAGTATTATTGGGTGGTGGTTGATATGTTCTCTCTTGTATTTTTACTGGATTATAGTTGTTTTCATCATGCTGCTTTATATCGAGTGACGAACAAGCTTCCTCCTTTATGTTCTCCAAAAAATACCCTTCATATTGAGGATACAGAAAGCCCCCTATGTTACCTTGTAACTCTTCTTCCTCAGTCTTTATCTCTGTTTTTATCTCAGTCTTTATTTCTGTTTTTATCTCTGTTTTTATCTCTGTTTTTATCTCTGTTTTTATCTCAGTTTTTATCTCTGTTTTGATGTGGTTACCTTGTTGAACAGATTCCCTATCAGCACAGTCCATATCGCTGGTATCTTTCTTTATTCTTTCACACAACTCTTTACTCTTATGTCATAAACCTAGAATTAGTTCAAATGTTAGCAATCTGTATCCAGAAAAGAGGGAGGATTATGAAATTATGATGCCTTCAAGGTAAACTAAAACGGTACATTTTTATAATGAGACAAACAATTATTGATAAACTTCTGATGTCAAATATAACAAACAATAGATATAATATAATAATAGCTTGGCTATTGAGTGCTGAGCGCGATAATTCCCGACAGCTTGCTGGAGGGAACGCGCGGGCACGAAATTGCCAAGCTTTTATGTATAATAATATTTTCCGGTTCCGATTGGAAGGGGTGTAATCCGATACGTGCGCATGACACAATATAGTGTCTAATATATAGAACGCCAGTGTTATTTGTTTTAATACTTGCCGCCAGCCAGTCTGAGTCTATGCTGATAATACCTTGGCTTCTCTTGCGGGAAAAATGTGCAAATTATCAGCTCTCGGCGTCCGAGACTTTTAGTGGATATAATTCCCGGAAGGTATTATAACTGTCAATAATTTCAGTATGAAGTAAGCAATAAGCATTCTATCATATAACATTCAAAATGTTAGCAGGTATCTTTAACTTAGCTAATCTCGTTTCAATAATAAAACATTTAAAAATTCAATTCTAGTTCTAGTTTGATATTATTCAAATTCTGGCTAGCAGCTTCTGTACAAACCGGCTCAATTTTCAAATTCATTTCACAAGTAAATACTTGAACTCAAAAAAATCAAAAATAGTGACTATTTCTAAAATGTTGAATAAAGTGTTTTATAATTGCTGTTTATGGGTCCTTCACATATTATGTAATTAATATTTTCCCAATTTTTAACCCCCTCCCCCATTCATAATCAACTGTAATCAAGACCCACCCCCTCCCCCCTCCTGAAGCAATATTACGAAATCTTGGCCTGACCCCCCCCCTCCCCTTTTGAAATTTTTTTCCCCTAGAAAACACCTTTCTCTTCGTTTCATGCTACCCTGATCATGCTATCATGATGAGCCGAAACCATTGTTATGATATCCGACCAAGCAGCTTTCAAACTACCTACTTCTAGTAGGAACCCGTCTAACCCTAAATGGAATTGAATCTGAATTCCGAAGGGTTGTTGTTACACGAAACTTCTGGCAGATTCTCAAGAACTGATCTAGCTGAAAAATAGGGGTCTATGTCTAGACGGTAAAGGATTTCAGCTCTGAGGTGAAATACCGCTGATTCAACATTACCTCACATATTGGCTTATCAAATACTGGTTTATCAAGCAGTGATAACAAATATTTCCGGAACAGTTGGTATTCAGTTATAATGCTAGGGCCACGCTTTGTTTGGGGAGACCACTCGTCAGTCAGTATCCACCTTCCAAAGTGACGAGTATCAACAAAAGAGAATGTTTGATCATCTGTTGTATCAAACATTAACAGCGAGTGTTTCCTAGTCTCCCCTGTCTTTGTCATGGCAAATCTACCGGCCATGCCAAAAGTCAGAAGAATGTTTAAAGTTTCCGGAAAAAACTTATCATTTTTAACCTCATCCTTCAGAGATAACTCTGTGAAAGTAATCCTGATTTCCTTACCTCGTGCCTCCCCAGCAAGAGAGAAACTTGGTTTAGTCCATGGAATAAGAGGGTGTTTGTGACTTGGCTCCTTGAGAGGGCGGACCTTCTTAAAGATGTGTTGGGAGGCAATGTGGTTGAGAAAGGTAGCTGCTTTGTAGAGTTCAGGACCTTCGGGCATTGTGCCAGGACATGAACTGAATGGTAGATTCAGTGAGTGAAATATTGAGTACAAGTTGAAATCAAGTGCTTCAGGTAATTTATTAACATCATCAACAGAATGTCATAAGTCTAGTGGTGATTTCAATTATCAAATACTGAGTTACGTATATGAAATTGTTAACGGAATAAAGCTACAAAAACAGGTAACCTTTAAAAATAAGGAACATCATCAATAGATAAATTTGTGGGTCATTAATATTATTGAAATAATATAATGATGATTATATCATGTAGTAATAGATACGTCAACCAATTAACGGTATAAATAGATATATGTTTTTAAACTTTTGAAATATCACCCAAATTTGATCAAAAGAATAAATTTAAATTTAAATAATATTCAAGCACAAGCAAGCAAACATAAAAATTATAGCATACGATGTTCATTAGAAATGGAACTATCATTTGATTTCGAAGTTGAACAATTAGATATTATGTATATTGAAGGTCATATCTTGCTGTGACTAACCACTGTTAGTCATAGAGCACCGAGCACCGTATTTTGAGAGACATTTTCGTTTTATAATAGTGAACATTTTGAGACAATTTTTATGAAGATCCCCCCCCCCACACATTTGAATGGTTGGTCGCCAGTATGTTTCCTTTGGTGGATCGTAAGATTTGGTTTCTTAGCAGTAACATAGTCACAATCTGAACATTTGAAAGGTTTGTCGCCAGTATGTGTACGTTGATGCATGGTCAGAGATGATTTCTGAGCAGCAGCATAGCTTAGTCACAATCTACACATTTGAATGGTTTGTAACCAGTATGTTTCCTTTGGTGGATCGTAAGATTTGGTTTCTTAGCAGTAGCATAGTCACAATTTAAACATTTAAATGGTTTGTCACCAGTATGTTTCCTTTGGTGGGTGACGAGATCTGATTTCTGAGCTGTAGCATAGTCACAATCTGAACATTTGAACGGTTTGTCACCAGTATGTGAACATTGATGGATAGTAAGATTTGATTTCCTATCAGTAGCATAGTCACAATTTAAACATTTAAATGGTTTGTCACCAGTATGTTTCCTTTGGTGGATGATGAGATTTGATTTCTTGGCAGTAACATAGTCACAATCTAAACATTTAAATGGTTTATCACCGGTATGTTTCCTTTGGTGGGTTTTAAGAGATGATTTTGAAGTAGTAGAATAGTCACAATCTGAACATTTGAACGGTTTGTCGCCAGTATGTGAACATTGATGGATAGTAAGATTTGATTTCCTAGCAGTAGCATAGTCACAATCTAAACATTTGAATGGTTTGTCGCCAGTATGTTTCCTTTGGTGGATGATGAGTTCTGATTTCCTAGCAGCAGCATAGTCACAATCTAAACATTTAAATGGTTTGTCACCAGTATGTTTCCTTTGGTGGATGATGAGATCTGATTTCCTAGCAGTAGCATATTCACAATCTAAACATTTAAATGGTTTGTCACCAGTATGTTTCCTTTGGTGGATGATTAGAGCTGATTTCTGCGCAGCAGCATAGTCACATTCTAAACATTTGAATGGTTTGTCACCAGTATGTTTCCTTTGGTGGGTGGTAAGATTTGCTTTTATATTAGTAGCATAAACGCAAACTGTGCATTTGAATCTCTTAACATTAGTTGGGGGTTTCTGACACTCAAGAGAGGTAACAAGAACATTGGCACAAGGTGCCCATTCCTCTTTATCAGATATCTGCTGAGTTAACCGTGCAGTGTCTGGATGATCAGTATTGTTGGGTGGTGGTTGATATGTTCTCTCTTGTATTTTTACTGGATTATAATTGTTTTCATCATGCTGCTTTATATCGAGCGACGAACAAGGTTCCTCCTTTATGTGCTCTAAAAAATACCCTTCATATTGAGGATACAGAAAGCCCCCTATGTAACCTTGTAACTCTTCTTCCTCAGTCTTTGTCTCTGTTTTTATCTCTGTTTTTATCTCAGTCTTAATCTCTGTTTTTATCTCTGTTTTTATCTCTGTTTTTAACTCTGTTTTGATGTGGTTACCTTGTTGAACTGATTCCCTATCAGCACTGTCCATATCGCTGGTATCTTTCTTTATTCTTTTACACAACTCTAATGTCATAACCCTAGAATTAGTTCAAATGTTAGCAATCTATATCCCGAAAATAGGGAGGATTGTGATGCTATTTAAAGTAGACTAAAACGGTACATTTTTAAAATGAGACAAACCATTATAATTATTATTACTGATAAACTTCTGATGTCAAATATAACAAACAATAGATATAACTGTCGATAATTTCAGTATGAAATAATCATTCTATCATATCATAACATTCAAAATGTTAGTAGGTATCTTAAACTTGGCTAATCTTGTTTCAATAATATATAGAACCTTTAAAAATTCACTTGATGTTCTAGTTCTAGTTTGATATTATTTAAATTCTAGCAACCAGCTTAACTGATTTAATTTTCTTTAGATCATTTTTTATTCTGACGAACAAGTTGGCAGAAGAAAAAAAATACTTTCCCAAAAAAATCAAAAATAAGGACTATTTCTAAAATTTTAAATAACGTGTTTCATAATTGCTAACCTCATCTTTCAGATAACTTGGCTCCTTGAGAGGGCGAACCTTCTGAAAGATGTGTTGGGAGGCAATGTGGTTAAGAAAGGTAGCTGCTTTGTTCAGGACCTTCGGGCATTGTGCCAGGACATGATCTGAATGGTAGATTCAGAGAGTGAAATATTGAGAACAAGTTGAAATCAAGTGCTTCAGGTAATTTATTAACATCATCAACAGAATGTCATAAGTCTAGTGGTGATTTCAATTATCAAATACTGAGTTACGTATATGAAATTGTTCACGGAATAAAGCTACAAAAACAAGTAACCTTTAAGTAACATGATTAATAGATAACTTTGTGGGTCATTAATATTATTGAAATAATATAATGATGATTATATCATGTAGCTGTAATAGATACGTCAACCAATTAACATATAAATAGATATATGTTTTTAAACTTTGAAAGATCAGGTCCAAATTTGATCAAGAGGATAAATTAAATTTAAATAATATTCAAGCACAAGCAAGCAAACATAGAAATTGTAGCATACGATGTTCATTAGAAATGGAACTATCATTTGATTTCAAAGTTGAACAATTATATATTATGAATATTAAAGGTCATATATTTCTGTGACTAACTACTGTTAGGGGTTGTTCGCATATTATGTAATCAGCTGAGGGGGGGGGGGGTTTCCGAATGATTACGCTAGTGTAATTTTGACACAATAGCTAAAAACTGATTAAAAACTGATTAAAAACTGATTACGGGGGGGGGGGGGGGGGGGGGGGGGGTAAAAATGTTCCAAAAAAATGATTATGTAATATGTGAACGACCCCTTAGTCATACAGCACTGTACATTGAGAGACATTTTCGTTTTAAAATAGTGTACATTTTGAGACAAGTTTTATGAAGACCCCCCCCCCCACCCCCCCCCCCCCCCCCCCCCCCCCCCCCCCCCTTAAGATTTGATGCCTATCAATAATATAAGAACTATCATGGGTTTTCATCTGAATAAGATCTCTAATAATGAGTTTTTTTATGAGTTTGGAAAGAGTCTATACAGGTAGCAGCATGATAACAATCCAAACATTTAAATGGTTTGTCGCCAGTATGTTTCCTTTGGTGGGTTTTAAGCGATGATTTTGAACTAGTAGCATAATCACAATCTACACATCTGAACGGTTTGCTGCCAGTATGTTTCCTTTGGTGGATGATTAGATCTGATTTTTGAGCAGCAGCATAGTCACAATCTGAACATTTGAACGGTTTGTCACCAGTATGTGTACGTTGATGCATGGTCAGAGATGATTTCTTGGCAGTAGCATAGTCACAATCTGAACATTTGAACGGTTTGTCACCAGTATGTTTCCTTTGATGAGTTTTAAGCGATGATTTTGCAGTAGTAGCATAATCACAATCTACACATTTAAACGGTTTGTCGCTAGTATGATTCCTTTGGTGGATGATGAGATATGATTTCGATGCAGCAGCATAGTCACAATCTAAACATTTAAATGGTTTGTCACCAGTATGATTCCTTTGGTGGATGATGAGATATGATTTCCTAACAGCAGCATAGTCACAATCTAAACATTTAAATGGTTTGTCGCCAGTATGTGTACGTTGATGGATCGTAAGAGATGATTTCTGAGCAGCAGCATAGTCACAATCTACACATTTGAATGGTCTGTCACCAGTATGTGTACGTTGATGGACGGTAAGCTTTGATTTCCTAGCAGTAGCATAGTCACAATCTGAACATTTGAACGGTTTGTCGCCAGTATGTATACGTTGATGGATGGTAAGATTTGATTTTATATTTGTAGCATAAAAGCAAGCACTGCATTTGAATCTCCTGACATTAGTTGGGGGTTTCTGACACTCAAGAGAGTCACCAAGAACATTGGCACAAGGTGCCCATTCCTCTTTATCAGATATCTGCTGAGTTAACTGTGCACTGTCTGGATGATCAGTATTATTGGGTGGTGGTTGATATGTTCTCTCTTGTATTTTTGCTGGATTATAGTTGTTTTCATCATGCTGCTTTATATCGAGTGACGAACAAGGTTCCTCCTTTATGTGCTCCAAAAAATACCCTTCATATTGAGGATACAGAAAGCCCCCTATGTTACCTTGTAACTCTTCTTCCTCAGTCTTTATCTCTGTTTTTATCTCAGTCTTTATCTCTGTTTTTATCTCTGTTTTTATCTCAGTCTTTATCTCTGTTTTTATCTCAGTCTTTATCTCAGTCTTTATCTCTGTTTTTATCTCTGTTTTGATGTGGTTACACTGTTGAACAGATTCACTATCAGCACTGTCCATTATCGCTGGTATCTTTCTTTATTCTTTCACACAACTCTTATGTCATAAACCTAGAATAAGTTCAAATGTTAGCAATCTACATCCAGAAAAGAGGGAGGATTATGATTATGATAAACTTCTGGTATAACATAATAATCATTCTATCTACTACTTACATTCAAAATGTTAGTAGGTATCTTAAACTTGGCTAATCTCGTTTCAATAATAGAATCTTTAAAAATGTACTTGATGTTCTAGTTCTAGTTTGATATTATTTAAATTCTGGCTACCAGCTTTAGTCCAAACCGGCTCAATTTTCACATTCATACTATTTTCATCCTCTAGGGGGTCTGATTCAATTTTCTTTAGATAATTTTTTGTTCGGACGAACAAGTAGGCAGATGGAAAGAATACTTTCTTAAAAAAATCAAAAATAGTGACTATTTCTAAAATGTTAAATAAAATGTTTTATAATAGCTGTTTAGGGGTCGTTCACATATTATGTAATCAATATTTTACCAATTTTTGCCCCCCTCTCCCATCCGTAATCGACCGTCATCAATACCCACCCCACCCACCCCCGGCCCCCTCTCCTGAAGCAATATAACGTAATCATGGCCTGACCCCCCCCCCCCCTGCCCCCCCCCCCCCCCCCCTGCCCCCCCCCCCCCCCCCCCCCCCCCCCCCTTTTTTGAATTTTTTCCCTAGAAAGTACCTTTCTCTACGTTTCATGCTACCCTGATCATGCTATTATGATGAGTCGAAATCATTGTTATGATATTCGGCCAAGCAGTTTTCAAACTACTTACTTTAGTTGGATATCCAGTCAATTTCTAAATTTTATCACTATCAAGAGTGAAATTGAGAGGAATTTGAAATAAAATATTGTAAAATTGTTATTAATCTAGAGGGTAAAAAAACAAAAGTTTATTACGGAATCAACAAACAACCCAACGGCCCCCCCCCCCTCCCCCCTCGGCTGATTACGTTATATTTGAACGACCCCTTAAGTTCTACACAGTGTAAACTCATTTACACTGTGTCGGCTCAAGCAAAGATTAGTTGTTGTCGAATTTAAGCTACACATTCAACATTGAAAGGGTTAGGTTAGCGTGTGGCAATTTGTGTGAAGTTTAAAATAATTAAGCTGTCTGCACTGGAACTCGAGGGGCTCGATACGCTTCTTTTGGTACCCCACAAGCCTAGTTTAAAGTGATGTTAAAAACCAACTGTTTTCGCCACCGGATTTCGCCATTTTCGCCATTTCCGATGCTGTCATTCATCTGGGAGTTCTGATATATTATTTTCCTAGTTCAGGGAGTCAATACGCTTCTTTTGGTACCCCACAAGTCTACCCTAGGGTGAAATTTCAAAATCTTGAATTTTCGAAAAATCAAAAAAAAAGGGCGTGGTCGTTTTCGGCATGTTTACCACTATTCAGAATTTCCCCAGTTCGTGATTATGATAACTTAGTATCATATTGAACTTATCCAAGAGTCAAATTCTCTGGACCTCAAAATGGCTACTGGATTCCTGTGGGATCCTAGAGTACTGGAACTCACACATTTACACTGATACCTACTACTTCTCTTTATTGCAAATCCTCAGAATAAGACTTTTTATCATCTGAGTTTCCAAATGACTTCTTAGTTATCTAAAAGTTCTAGTTTTGAAGCCGCACTGATCACACGAGGACCGTTTCTGTGAGGGTCCTTGTGAATTTTATTGACATGTACTGTGAGGTTCTTTTCAAAAGGTCCACTGTAATCACAGTATTCACAATTAAACAGCTTTTCTGCTGACACAGTATGACGGGTTCTCACATGATAAATTAAATTTGATTTTGTAGCTGCTCTGTAGTCACAGTGAGAGCAAGGATATGGTCTCTCACCGGTGTGAGTCCGCTTGTGAACTTGTAATGGAGTTGACTGCGTTGAAGAATAATCACACAAATCACATTTATAAATCCGATCAAAAGTGTGATGGGTACGTATATGTGTGGTAACTGACCGTTTATGTTTAGCAGAATAATCACACAAGTAACATTTGTAAGGTTTTTCTGCAGAGTGTATGCGACCGTGACTCTTCAAGGCACTTTTTGTCTTTGTTGAATAGTCACATTTTTCACATTGGAATGGTTTCTCACCGGTGTGTGTAAGCATGTGAATTCCCAACATGTGTGCGGTAGTTGTTTTAAAGTCACATTCGAGACAATGAAAGGGTTTAAGCCGTCTTTGCCCAGTATGAGTATGCATATGGTCCTTAAGATGATGATGCTGCCTACCTTGATAATCGCAGAGGTTACATTTATAAGGTTTTTCTTCAGTGTGCATTCTTCGATGTGTGGCCAAAGTGCCCCGAAGTTTAGCCCGAAAATCACACGTATCACACGAAAATGGTTTTTCATCAGAGTGGCTTTTCAAATGATTTTTTAATAGATACCTAGTTTTGGTTTTGAAGCCACAATGATCAGCATAAGAAGGGACGATCTGCGCCGTGAATAGTCATATGCGTTTTAAGAGATCCAGAAAATGTGGTCTGATAGTCACACTTATCACACGAAAATGGTTTTTCATCAGAGTGGCTTTTCAAATGATTTTTTAATAGATACCTAGTTTTGGTTTTGAAGCCACAATAATCACATAAGAAGGGACGATCTGCACTATGAATAGTCATATGCGTTTTAAGAGCTCCAGATCTTTTTGCACGATAGTCACACACGTCACACGAAAATGGTTTTTCATCAGAGTGGCTTTTTGTGTGATTCTTTAATAATCGCAGAGACTTTGTTTTAAACCCACACTGCTCACAAGTAAAGGAACGAGCACCACTGTGTGATAGCATATGGGCCCTCAAGTGAGTTAGGCTGCGACATGAATAGTCACATGTTGAACAGTTACAAAGCTTCTTCACACCCTGCTTAGCAGCTGACATTTCTTTAAAATCTTCTCCTTGTTGGCTAGGGACCTAAAGTTGGATGAGAACTGGTTAGAAAATAAAAGTGGAACTTACAATATTATCTACAGTATACCGTAACGTCATGTTTAAATTCAAATAAAATTACAAAGTCAAAATAAGACTTTGGAAGTACAGAAAAAATAATATCAAAATCAAATTAACAATTCAAATATATTATAATAAGATTTGAACAGTCTAACAAATTTTTTAAATGAGCATATCATAGTTATCATTTCCCAATCAATAAACTAAACTATCTCAAATTACGGAGTAGTTCGCTGTTTATTAGTCTCATGATTGAAATACTGATAGCTGGACAATATCCGGTTGGAAGAGACAAGGACAAGTGACAAGATGGCGTTGACGCCGAAAATTTGCCCTTACTTCTAACTTCCTTATTTCACTTGTCCTTGTCTCTTCCAACCGGATATTATCCAACTATCAGTAAACTAAACTATCAGTAGAAGTTGTATGCACACAATTCCGCAAAGATTTAATATTTGTTAAAAGATGGTTCAGTTTGAATCATATTATATATAATGACAGAATGTAACTAAAGCAATCCTTCACTTTATTCAGTATCGCTGATAATAAATTCTCCCATTTCTGCAAACTTTATATTTAAATCGAATAATAAGTTAATTAAGGCTTCCCCTATCCCCTGTTTCAAGAAACACAGCAATCTTAGCATTGATTACATTCACTAGATCTGAACAATGGCATTCTCAGTCATACTCTTCACCTGGCCAATAATACTTACCACAATGTCCACAGTGTCTCATTCTGAAATCACCAATACACGTGCCAAAGTTTTTACAAATGGCACATCTGTTACAATGGTTATGAAACTGTCCACTGTCGAAAGTTGGGTTACCAGAACAGATCCCGGTGACATAGGATCCGCCTGGGAAACAGTCTGATTCTCCTATATCATCACATAATATGTATTTGTCACAGTACACTGATATATTTGCCATATCAAGGAAGTCTCCACCTGCCAAGTCAGGCTGATCCAACAAGTCCCCTAGCGTTGCTTTACAAAAGTGCCCACAATCTAGTGTACCAGAAATAATGACTTGGTCAAGGTCGGATGGCTTACCGGTCAGTTTGATGTGCCCGTTGTATATTGCTGCTCGTGCACAATTACCGTCACCATCCCCCATTGGCTCATGTCCAAGAGCTTTTAATAGCTCCTCTATTTCCTGAACCTTGGTATTTTTTGGCTCAGTATTCATTTTCTGAAAATGTGCAAATTTATTCAAACTGTACTGAAATTAGTAAAATATTAAGATTATTAAAGGTTTTCAAATCGTTCTGTGATTATTGCATTTAAATTAGGAATCACATAAGAAATCAGACAAACAAGAATTTGTATTATATATTGGAGGATAAAGAAGTGATTCTTTAAATTTGCAAATTCAATTAATTATTTTATATATAAATCAAACGTTACATTCCATCCATGCAAAATTACAATGAAATATTTTGATATACTAATTGATAAATGGTACTGCAATATAAGTTGCTTATTGTGTGGCCGGATGACAACTAACTAATCTAGAAAAATAAACCTGATTAAATATAATAACTTAATAATTAATTCGGCTGAACCAACACATAGTAAGAGCCACATCACTCTTGAAACAATATGTCAATAATTAGTAATGAAATATAGATTAAGTGACAATAATACAAATACTAAAAACCGAAACTTGTATAAAAGAGAAAATAAAAACGTAACATAGCGAAATAAATAGTTTAAAAAGTTAAAAAACATTTTCCCCTTGTCAAGATAATCTTACACCACTGTGAATGCGAAGATAAATTAACAGCTATACTTTATATAATTTATATAATACGAATTTAAAACTGTTATGTATGGTCTAACAGTAAGTATCCTATAAACATAATCCTTCAAGTAAGGTAAAGTCTAGTTCTATAACTGCTATAGTTAATTATAGTTATTATAGTTGGTTATTACAGTATTTGTTTATAGTCTATTCATAGCAGTTGTCTCTTTTACGAGAATCTTTCGCTAGCTTCACCATAACATCGTCGTCACTATCCTGACACTGGCATTCATCTGACTCATACCCAAAGTAGTGTTCACCACAACAATCACAATGAAACCGCTCGTAGTCATCAATACACTCGCCAAACACCTTGCAGTCAGTACAGTGGTTATGGGACTTACCGTTGTTAAAGTAAGCTTCCCGACTGCAGATTCTACTAACGTATGTTCGGTATCCTCCAGTGCATTCTTTACACTCCACTGTGGCGTATTCAAGATCCGCATAGTCTGATCCACCGTAATCTGGCTGTTTTAGCAGATCACGGAGTGTCACCTCGACAAGATCACCACAGTCTAGTTTCCCTTTGACAACTACTTGATCCAGATCAGAAGGATGGTCAGTCAGCAGGATATGTCCACGGTAGATCGCAGCGCGCGCACAGTTTCCTTTACGTTTGTCAGGTTCCACACCTAGTGCTTTTAGTTGTTCGTTGATTTTATTAACCTTCTTGTTTATTTTCTTAGGTTTACCAGCTGGTAATACTGGTGGATATGATTCCTGTTCATGATTATCTAGCTCACTATTTGTATTGGAACTCTTGTCTGCTGTCAACTCTTTCGGATTGATTCCAAGGTCAACCAACACAGTGTTCATATTATCCTGAAAACAATACAGTAAAGTAGATCTGCACAAACAATAAGAAATAAAGTTGATGAAACCACTGACCACATCACATTAATAAAACTTAGCTCGTTTATTTATGGCGGGAGATATTATGGCGGGTAAAAATAATGGTGGGTAAATATATATCTGGGCCATATATTTGTTTATAAATTGCTATAAACATTTCATCAAGTCCAGCATGTGATAGTATATTATATAATGCGGTCGAGAATTTCAAGAAGACATTATCTGATCAACACTGATTGCCCAATCAGTTCATTCAGCATACCTAACTAAATTTAGTTAAAGTAGTAGATTTGTAACGTGCTAGCAGAAAAACAACAAGTTGTATAATAAAATTAAAATTTGGAAATGAACAGTCCAACGAAATAGAAATAAACTTATTGTTTCTGTTGTGAATGCATTTAAATACTTTTGTATTAAAGAACTAAAGTTCTATAGAAAACATTAAAATAATAGAAATAAATTAATTTGAAAATATTATAGTCATAATATTAATAATGTTGATTTGAACTTAAAAACGTTTAAAACAATGCTGGAGAACAGTACACTATGATACTATCAATACTACTATGTAAAATATACCAACAGCTTGCATCACTCAATATCGCTAAAATTAAAAATTATAAAAATTATAAAAATTCCAATCACATCATGACTCTTGAGTTACAATTATTGTTATTGAATACCCAAGAACTGATAATGCATGATAATTGGTTAAGAATACAAAATGCAGTGGTGGCATAAAATAATATCCACCTTGAGTATTAAAATTCTCAAACAAATTATATATTACCAATATAGAGGTACACCATTCTACATCAGGACACAGTCATCATCTCCAGTACCACTACCACTACCATCACCTCCACTACCACTACCATCACCTCCACTACCACTACCATCACCTCCACTACCACTACCATCACCTCCACTACCACTACCATCACCTCCACTACCACTACCATCACCTCCACTACCACTACCACTACCATCACCTCCACTACCACTACCATCACCTCCACTACCACTACCACTACCATCACCTCCACTACCACTACCACTACCATCACCTCCACTACCACTACCATCACCTCCACTACCACTACCATCACCTCCACTACCACTACCATCACCTCCACTACCACTACCACTACCATCACCTCCACTACCACTACCACTACTATACCATCACCTCCACTACCACTACCATCACCTCCACTAACACTACCATCACCTCCACTACCACTACCATCACCTCCACTACCACTACCATCACCTCCACTACCATTACCACTACCATCACCTCCACTACCACTACCATCACCTCCACTACCATCACTACCACTACAGCACTACCACTACCATCACCTCCACTACCACTACCATCACCTCCACTACCACTACCATCACCTCCACTACCACTACCACTACCATCACCTCCACTACCACTACCACTACCATCACCTCCACTACCACTACCACTACCACTACCATCACCTCCACTACCACTACCATCACCTCCACTACCACTACCATCACCTCCACTACTACTACCACTACCATCACCTCCACTACCACTACCACTACCATCACCTCCACTACCACTACCATCACCTCCACTACTACTACCATCACCTCCACTACTACTACCATTACCACCACTACCACTACCACTACCATCACACCTCTCACTTCTACATCAGGACACAGTCATCACCTCTACTACCACTACCATCACCTCCACTTCCACTACCACTACCATCACTACCACCACACTCTTCACATCCAAACTGGCCTCCAGACCCAGCCCAGAAATGATTACCACATCTGTCACAATGTCTATCCCTATAATCACCAATACACTTCCCAAATAGCTTGCATTTGTTACAGTGGTTGTGGAACTTTCCACTGTCGAAATATGGATCACCAGTGCACATATTAGTTACATACGTTCTACCTTCTCCACACTGGTCAATGTCATTATTTTTGTCACAAATAACAGTAATATCCTCCATTCCATTTTCGTAATCCATTCCAGCATAGTCAGGCTGCTCCAAAAGGTCTCTTAATGTTGCGTTACAATTGTGACCGCACTCCAGGGTACCAGAGAGAATTACCTGATCTAGATCGGATAGCTGGCCTGTTAGTTTGATGTGACCACGGTATATAGCAGCTCTTGTACAATTTCCGTTATCTTCGTGAGGCTCTATACCTAGCGATTTCAATTGTAAGTTTATTTTCTCTAATTTAGTTTTCCTTTTTTTGGGTTCTGTTGTGGAAGCCTTCCTCTTTGAACCAGCGCCAGTCTTCTCAGACTTTGGTTTATAATTCGAAGGACCCGCCCCATTTTTATTGACTAAAGATTTTAAATTCTCCCGGCCCTCAATTTCCTCATCGCTCTCCAACTCAAAAACGTCAATCTTCTGTTTCTTGGTTGCTGAATCAGTTGAAATATTAGCATTCACTCCTCTCTTCTTCTCCTTCAATTCTTTTGGTTCCTCAGATATACTACCAGTCTCCTTGCTCTCAGTTTGTTTCTGCGGTATGGGGGAATCATAACTCTGGTCAAAATGCGGAACAAAGAATTTAGTTGCAGCAGTTTGCCTCCCTGATCTCCTCACACGTTCGGTCATATCCTGGGAAGTGAGATGCACATGGTTAATTGGTTATTGTAACACAGCGTATTTAGATTTACTTGTGATTAGTCAGAAGTACAAAGCTGCATTTTTAGTTGAACATTTAGTTTTTGAATTGTAATGACAGCAGCGGTAAAACATCGTGTTTTTAGTTGGAATCTGCCTTCAAGAGTTAAACATATTTTAAGATTATCTACTAGACTTATGCTCTCAGTTCAGTGCTTTGACTAAGGAAGCTTAATTCTCAGTATAATTATGTCTTTGAACTCACAGCAAATTGTTTATTGTAGTCAAATAAAAAGTAACCTTCGAAAAAAGGGTTTGAAATTCATGAATAAATATAAATAAACAATAGATAAAATGCGAATTTATAAATCAAAAGCACCCATGACCATGGATACTGGATAGCCAATTCTAACATATCAAATAATATAAATACAAGTGCAACAACAGTAGCAGCCCATCCACTTAATATGTGATACCTATTATACCAAATTATATAAAAAAAATATTTAACATTAGTATTAAAAAGCAATCTGAGGTTCTCATTAAATAATTATAAATTATGTTTACAAGCAAAAATGCAAATAACATAATATAAATAAGAAATTTATTTTGTAAAATATATTCGAATATATTAAGTCAACGTGTCGATGTACAATAAAGTTATCTAATATAATTGCAAACTTCATTACAATCATAATAATTTATATAATTGAGTATTGTTAAGGTATGAATAATTTATCATTGAGATAAGACCTCTTCTCGTTAGATCGTTATATAATTTAATACATTACTAAGATGGTTGTCCGAAACATTTAGAAATAATTAAAAAAATAATTAAAAATACAACATTCCATGCAACCACTATAATAATAAGCATGCAAATGTAGCGAAAATATGAATTGTAAATATTTGAAATAATAAATATTTTAACAAAATGTTTAAAAAGCTCCCTCTTAATAATTCATTTGATATTTGAGCATGCAAATAAAAAGGGATGCAAATTGAAGATAAGCTCACCTTCAGTAATCAAAAGTATATAAGCTTACAAAGTTAAAAATATGTATACAATTGTATTGATTAAGTTTTTAAAAGGTGAGTCCACAAATCTAAACACAACACCTTGATCAATTGTTCATAATATCATAGAAGATCACCATCTCTTAATAGAGTTGAGGTAACCGTGGTTACTACCCTGGTTACCATGGTTAACACTTGGTCCGTGAGCGGTTAGTAACCATTGTACCACGCTTTCAGCTCAATTTGAAACATATAATCCAGCTTAACAGTCAAGAATTTGGGACATCGTTTCAAAGCATCTCTAAATTTACCGTTTATATCTCCCTCACCTTCCGTTGTAGCAACTGTCACTGGACTTGCTCGGCTGATACTACGACACTTTTCAATGAAACTTCCATCGCACTTTCCAAGGTTTGTCTCCAGAAAAGTGAGGGTTGGACAGTTCCTTACGAGGGAAAATATTTGAGCATCTTTGATATCTGTGTTTTCTAGATTCAGGAGAGTAAGAGCGGTGAGAAGAGGAGCTACTTCTCTTGCAAAGGTCACGTGGTCAAATATGCTCCAATCGGGTGTTTCGTAATTGCAACATGCATTGAAAAGGGACAACTCTTTAAGGAAGAACAAGTTCTCCAAGGGCTTCAAGGATCTGACATCCCTAATGTTTGCACCGCACAGCTTCAGAACTTCAATCAAGGGACACATTGCTGCGACAGATCTCAATAAGAGGGGATTTTCATCAAGGTCGCAGTTAAACGACAAATCTAATTCTTTTAGGTTAGGCATGAGTTGCAGTAAAGATAAGTTAACATTACCATCAAATCCAATAGGCATGCAATCATCATACCTCATTGCAAAGAAAGACTTTAAATTGCTTAGTTTTGGAGATTTGGTGTTAACATTGAGGCTTGGAAGGTTGGTTATCAGGTCATAGTCACATTCCCAAGGAGTGTTTGGGGAGTGCTCATAAACACGAAGATGCTCAAGGGTTTCGTGGTGGTTCTTTAAGATGAAATCTAGAAGCTCACCATCCAAGTTTTTGCAGTTGCAAAAGCTGAAAGAGGTCATTTTATTTTCCTTCAAGTACTTGATGATGCTAGAACCATCAATCAAATCTGAAGATTCAATATGAATCTTTTCAAGGTTCTTTGTTTTCTTAAGAAGATCACCGAGAAGTCCCTCCGTTAGTACCTTTCCATCTCTCTTACGATCAAAACCCTTTAAGGCCAAGCTTTTCAGCTTGTTCTTGGCAGGCAAGTGCTTTGCAAAACTCTCCAACCCAATCAAACCACCGGGCTTGTTAAACTCAATCACTAGTACCTGAAGATCACGACAATTTCGGGATACTGCGGTGCTCATTTCTTTGGTGAAATAGATTCCACAGTCATAACTTTCAAAGCCTATACCAGTTTGAAGAGTGAGCTTCTTCAAGTTACCTCCAGTTGCGGACAGCACAGTCACAAGATTGCTTTGATTTAGAATGTCTTCTTTTGGGTAAAACTCACGGTAAAGTTCACGAGTACTCAGTTTCTCTAAAGAAGACAGCTTTTTGTGGCATAGGTTGTAAAACCTTTTGCATAGGGTAGAGAGTTTGAACAGATTCAGTATACCAACATGAGACAGAATCAAGTTAATACAGTGATCATCTAGAGACAGTATAGAAGGAACATCAGCTCCTATTGCTGGTTCATATTTCACATCCACAAACGCTGGGTGTCGTCTTGGTGCAGATTCCAAAAATTTCCTGTGTATTTTTAGCTTCTTCCCTTTTCTTATCTCTATTTTATCAGGTTCGTTAGACTCGATCTCACTAGCATCGGAGCCATCATCCTCAGAGCCGCAACCAACGGAACTACCGGACTCCTCAAAACTACTACCGGACTCCTCGGAAGGGTCTGCCACTTGAAACCGGGACCTGCTGTTCCGAGCAGCTGATGCAGCATTGAGCATGTTAGCAAATTGTGCTACTGCTGCAGGGTCCTCTCGCTGTGAAGGACGCCCCAACATGTTGTCCAATGTGGGGTCGTAGCGGGATGTTACCTGTCCAGTCTCCATGTTCATAGTCATGACATTGCCCAGGGAGATGGTGAAGTTGCTGTCTCCAGCTGCTTTGTGGAGTATTACCATGTTTATTAGTACCTGAGGCAGTAAGGGGTTGTCAATCATAATTTAAATAGTTACGGTGATGAGCTGTAATTTTACAGTGTTTTTCAGTGTTTTGCAGTGTTTTGCAGTGTTTTGCAGTGTGTCATTTAGATAAAAAGAAGACACAGGATATTTGGTACTCTCTCAAGAATTAGGTTTGTAAGACGGTCGACACAATGGTCAAAAACAATTGCTTTGAATAAAAAACTTTGTAATTCACTGAAATGTTTCCTACAACAGAAATGCAAGACAACCATTATCACAGAGAGTTAGACTCGAAATATAAAATTCATACAAATACTTAAACTTAATAAATGAGTTCAATTAGTACATCATAAATCACACACTCACTCGAAAATGTCTGGGTGAATCAATAATATAATGTTAAAAAAGATTTTTAAAACCAAGATCGCACGAAGATCTATCAAATCTGAATAAGGCGGATCGGGGTCTGGACTCAACGGCGTAAGACTCAACGGCGGGTTAGGGTTATGGTTAGAGTTAGGGTTAGGGTTAGGGTTAGGGTTATGGTTAGGGTTATGGTTATGGTTAGGGTTAGGGTTATGGTTAGGGTTAGGGTTAGGGTTAGAGTTAGGGCTAGGGTTAGAGTTAGGGTTAGGGTTAGGGTTATGGTTAGGGTTATGGTTAGAGTTAGGGTTTGGGCTAGGGTTAGGGTTAGGGTTAAGGTTAGGGTCTTACGCCGTAGAGTCCCGGACCCAGGCGGATTTATTTATGAGAATTTCGTACCGTCACTAGCACTTCAAATGCTGACACTAATAAAGGCTCAATTCCATATTTCTTGATGTAGTCTTTAAAGTTTAAGACGAGAGTATTGAGTCCCACCCTAGGCTGAAACACAACAGAGCCCGGGTATTCCAGAGATAATATCTGATTCATCCACTGGCATTTAATAGCTGACTGGTCTAAAAGTTTACCGATATCCCCCTTTCTGATACTAAGTCTAGATATTATCAGCTTACAACTGATCAACCGGTCTGTAGTGAAACATAACGTGAAGGTAGAGTTAAATTCTGGGAATATAGTGTGAACGGGCAGTAACTGTTCCTTTAATAAGCAGGTGCCTGCTTTGTGGACATTTATAAAAGCATCCGCTATTTGCTCCCCGTGATGGTGTATCTTCTGAGCTATAAACTCATGGGACCGTTCCCGGGCCAGATCCTCCGCTGTTTTGCAGGCTGCGTTAACGAGCGCGAAGTTGGATCCGTAGTCCAGGAGCATTTCTACTGTTGATCTGTGCCCGTTTTCTGATGCTTTCATTAGGGGTGTTTCCAGAACCGCTGAGAATATTGGATTGTCAAAGCTGGATAAGGGTTACCATGGTAACACTGCTAGTTACCATGGTAACACTGAATATTGGATTGTCAAAGCTGGATAAGGGTTACCATGGTAACACTGCTAGTTACCATGGTAACACTGAATATTGGATTGTCAAAGCTGGATAAGGGTTACCATGGTAACACTGCTAAGTTTTATCTTAATGTTAATAGTAGTGTTCTGTGTTATTAAACTTCAATTTATTATTTTATTAATATAAAGTATAAACTAACCGTCCCGAAGGTTGATGTTGGATCCAGCTTCTATTAAACTGACACATATCTCAGTGTGACCCAACTCAGCTGCTATGTGTAGAGCTATTCTTCCCTGGTAATATTAGCTAATCAGTTTCATGTTATTGCTAATATTGTTGGTAATATTTACACTACATTATTGCTAATATTATGTACTGTCCACAGTATTATTGGTAAAGTTACAATATATTGGTGGGTAATAGTACAAATCATGGGTCTGTCGGTGAGCTGTGTTGTGAAGACTTGCTTTTCAATAAACTGTGTTTTATATAAATCAATAGATAGACTAGACAGCCGATTATACAAAAAAAGCCTTTGATAATTTGATAATCCTGCTAGTTTAATGTCAAGGGATAATATTGAGAATAAACATCTATCAAAACAAGTGTTATCAGGGATAATATAAAATCTGAACTGATAAAAAAAGTCCATAATCTTGGTATTTCAGCACTAAGTCTCGCTTGAATGACTTAAATGTACATCTTTGTTGGGTATATTTTTATGTCGAAGCGTGTAATAAATGTTAGAATTTATTTATTTATTTATATTGAGACCTCTACTAAAACAAGTGTTATCAGGGATAATATTGAGAATAAACCTCTACTAAACCAAGTGTTAACATTATACTAACTTTATCAAGGGGCTGGTTAACGTCAGGGTTGTATCTGAGTAACATATCTGTCATTCTACGTTTCCCATGATGTACAGATAGGGAAACAAGTGTCTTTTCTCCGTAGATCTGGTTTATGTTCAGCTTCTGTTTTAACAACAGAGTCTGTACATCCTGAAATTAACGGAAATTTAATGGAATATTCTGAGAGAAATTGAAGATTTCATCCTAAACTGACAGTGGTGGGTGGTTGGGGGTCCAGTGGTGAAAAATGGTGAATGATTTTCATAGTTAATTGAGTATACAAATTGTAAAATTTCACAATTTTCCCGATAAGTGTAGTTAGTTTTGACCGGACGTTATAATTCTAAAACAATATTTGGTTATAAACTCCAGTGCAAGACTTTAAGCATGACCCAACATAACGATCGTAACTAGCTGTCGAGTGATCGGCCAGTTTATTTTCTATCCCGAGAGTTGTCAGTGAAAAATCCCGCATGTTATGACTAAGATCAAATTTGACTTATTAACTACTTATATTATCGCGTCGGCAGTGAAAAACAGTTACGGAATTGTTACAACACTACTCTGTTCCTTTAAAAGATATTTCATAAACGATTCACCCTTGGGGCTGGGCCACAGCATTTATTTAGAGCGGGAGGGACTGGAGCAGGTGCGACTTGTTTTGACAGCCAAGGAGGTATTTAAATCGAGAAAACTTCAAAACTAGCAATCGTAATTGGGCAATTTTCTAATTGACCTGGAACATTGACAGAAAGTCAGTAGAAAAATGAAGCACAGAGCCACATGTAGGGTAGAAACAGTAATGACAGAGTCTCAAAGAAAAATATACGGTTTTTTAATGGCAGATTCTCTAAACGTTAAAGTGTCAGGTAGATTGCTCCAGCTGCTCATTTCTGATTTGATACTGTTTTATTTTGTCAAGTGCTAAATCTATCTTTTTAAAATGATTTATTTTTTATATAAATTTCATATTCCTAGTGGTTATCTATAAATAATGATAAATGTTCGATTTGTTAAAACATAATATTAAACATATTTTCTCAACAGTTGTAGTTATTTCGATGATTCTTCTAATCCTCCTCTCAACCGCTAGAGGTATGTTAAGCATGAAATATCACATTTTATGTACATATCTTGTAACTTTCATTTCAAATATTACTTACTTGTACATGTATTGTATGGTCTCTGCTTCTTTTTAGTTTAGTGTGGTTTAAAATAAAAGATGTTTTAATTTTGTCTTGGTCTTATATTAATATTACGTTATACTCTTGTTCATTTTTACACATTTGCTCACATCACTCACAGTCAGCCGCTCTGACATGGTTAACCACCTTCCTTGTATTGTTGGTTAATCATATGAGCGGGATATAAATACCTCATTTCATTTCATTTCATTTACTTTCTAGTTTCTTTAATACAATTACTCGTTTAAAAAATAAAATGCCCATGATTAATTATTTCAGCCTGGAAGGATGTGCCAAAAACACAGCTACTAATAGAGCACAATCTAGATGCCATCCCCCTCCAAGTGCACACTAAAACTTCACAAGTCACAACTGGACCCTGGATCCTCAACATAGACTTGTGGAAAGAAGGCACAACCTCTGCGGTAAGGGTAAACTACGGAGGAGAATTCACTGACTCGTGGCTAGGAAGCATCCGAATAATCACGGCGATTAGAAGTTATACCGTGGAATGGAGATTTGCTATGGCATTCTGCAACGAGGACCCAATAAACCCCCTCGAGGATTCACAAATGCACATAATAACAAAGATGCCATCCCTCCTCGGCCTCATTGACATTATGTGGGAGTTTAAAAAGGCAGCTAATACATTCATCGTTATGTGTAATAACGTTACCATCATTGAAGTGGTGTACAATGATCCGACCCAAATTGTGCCGCGAACCTGTGCGGAGAGGTTAAATAATACCATCGGGAAGATATCATTCAGGAAGGAGTATGATAGGAATGATACTGCTTCTCAGAAATACAGGATAAAACCACAGCCTCCAATCATTAAAGAATGTAAGTTTAATATAAACTATCATCTGATTTCCTATCATCAATCATTACTTAATTCATTAAATTAGTTTAACTTTCTGGTTTTACAAATTAATGACATTTTTCCTTCACGGATTACAACAATTTCAGCTTGGAGTGATAAAAACGTTGACGACACTTTCTCTACAAATATGATTGGAATGTCTCTGGAGATACAGCCATCTATGCCACAAGGTCAGTAAAGAAGCAACAGTATACTGGTTACAAGGTTACTAATACTGGTTACTAGGCTACTAATACTGGTTACTTAGTTACTAATACTGGTTACTAATACTGGTTACTAGGTTACTAATACTGGTTACTGCCATGTAATAAAATTACATTGTAATTATCTTCAGAAATTGAGAAGCCGATAGTTATCGAAATCTTCATGACAACCGACCCATTCAACCCTGAAATGATCTCGATCATTCCAATGGGTCAGCAGAATCTCTACCAAGTGAACATTATAGGGTGCAAAACTGTAAACAATTTCTCATCCTACCCATACCATACCAATAACATGTGGACTCTACAACTGATGCTGTGGGAAAATCAAGGAACCATGTTAACACTCTATAGCAACGGTGTGAAGTCTATGTCAGTTATGTTGGATTGTGATCAATGGAAGGTCGGTGTTGCTTCTCTAGCTTTTTCAACTGACGATGTGGGTTCAGAAAAATTCCGCTTTACGCAAGGTAAGTTATCAAATCTAAACTGTAAACATTTGAACAGACGTCTTAATTAGTTACCATGGTAACGTGTAACCATGGTTATTAATACTGGCTACTAGGTTACTAATACTGGTTACTAGGTTATTAATACTGGTTACTAGGTTACTAATAATTCAGATTGTACGGGGCTAAACCCATCTTGGACCAACATGAGGAGCATACGACCACCATTCCCTCTACTGCACGGTACAGGAGCCACTCTGGCTTGTTCCCCTAACTATATTCTAGAGGGTGATACCGTGGTAACATGTGATAAAGGGCACAACTTCATCTACATCAACGAGCCCAAATGTAAACAACAGTGGGAAGAACCAGGTAACAGTTTAGGTTATTATATCAGGCTAGGAACTCAGGCGTAATATCAGGCTAGGAACTCAGGCGTAATATCAGGCTAGGAACTCAGGCGTAATATCAGGCTAGGAACTCAGGCGTAATATCAGGCTAGGAACTCAGGCGTTATATCAGGCCAGGAACTCATGCGCGCATGAATACAAAATTCCCAATTTTATGAGAGCTGCATATCTTATTGTGTGATGATTAACTCAGATATTTAATGGGGAGGAGGGCGAGGGCATGTCCGTTTTGACCAAAAGTTGAGGATTAAATGGGAGAGGTGGTTGCCCCCCCCCCCCTCTCCCCCTGCTCCCACGGCCCCACCCATCAATGATTTTTAACGGTCAATATAAAGAATGGATGATAAACAAGCTTACATTGTACCAAACATATACTAGCTCGAATTATTTGCCCTGTGAGTTAAACGTGTACCTGTATGCAATTACTCTTGATAAGGAGATCTAAATGGTAACATGTAACCATGGTTACTAATACTGGTTACTAGGTTACTAATACTGGTTACTAGGTTACTAATACTGGTTACTAGGTTACATTACCTGTATGCAGTTACTCTTGATAAGGAGATCTAAAGCGTCGTAGTATACAGCTAGCGTCCAGTTAATGTTTTCTAAACCGCTCATTTTTCCTGAAACATTGTGGTTATCAAGAATATGATAAGCAAGTTAGTGTAACCCGGTGAATACTTTTTTAATACTTTCAACACTACTTTATAACAAATAATTTGATATAAATAATATTCCAATCCGGATTTTAACCCGGTAAATATGCTTTGAAAACTTTGCAAGTGTTTGAGAAAATTCCCTTAAATTGTTGATTCACGACAGTACCTATTGCATAAAATTAACATAAATTAATAATTTTACTAATAATAACTTTGTTTCACTGATTGAATGAAAAAACCAGCCAAGTAAATAAGATGCTCACCAGAAGGATCTTCATATTCTAGTGGTATAGGAAGAGTGACCCTGTGTACACCATCAGCAGAAGGTATCCTAACATCAACTCCAAAGGGAAGGAATAGGTCTTCTAAATGTGCTATAGAGGAGCTGAACTCAGAGGCGGGGGAGTCAGTGGAGTGAGGAGCTAGCACCTGGGAGAGAGGGAGTCAGTGGAGTGAGGAGCTAGCACCTGGGAGAGAGGGAGTCAGTGGAGTGAGGAGCTAGCACCTGGGAGAGGGAGATGGTTAATTCAGTGGCTTGAGAGTGAGGAGCTAGCACCTGGGAGAGGGAGATGGTTAATTCAGTGGCTTGAGAGTGAGGAGCTAGCACCTGGGAGAGGGGGAGGGCTAGTGGCTTGAGAGTGAGGAGCTAGCACCTGGGAGAGGGAGATGGTTAATTCAGTGGCTTGAGAGTGAGGAGCTAGCACCTGGGAGAGGGAGATGGTTAATTCAGTGGCTTGAGAGTGAGGAGCTAGCACCTGGGAGAGGGGGAGGGTTAGTGGCTTGAGAGTGAGGAGCTAGCACCTGGGAGAGGGAGATGGTTAATTCAGTGGCTTGAGAGTGAGGAGCTAGCACCTGGGAGAGGGAGATGGTTAATTCAGTGGCTTGAGAGTGAGGAGCTAGCACCTGGGAGAGGGAGATGGTTAATTCAGTGGCTTGAGAGTGAGGAGCTAGCACCTGGGAGAGGGGGAGGGTTAGTGGCTTGAGAGTGAGGAGCTAGCACCTGGGAGAGGGGGAGGGTTAATTCAGTGGAGTGAGGAGCTAGCACCTGGGAGAGGGGGAGGGTTAATTCAGTGGAGTGAGGAGCTAGCACCTGGGAGAGGGGGAGGGTTAATTAATTATTTAAAACTTGTTTCTGAACCTTTATTAAGGACTGGGGGGTGACATCGGAGTTGCGTACGATAAGCTTACTTGGTGCCACACAAATTGACAAAATTTATAAGCACCCATCACTTATGACCATGTTCTCCAATTACAATCTATATTCTCATGATACTTAGTAAGGAAGCTCGCAACCGCTACCGCTACCGTTACCGATACCGCTACCGCTACCGCTACCACTACCGCTACCACTACCATTTCTACTGATAACATGATGGTCGATTAGCAGGTACAGGCATATTAGAGTATATAGTATTTATAGATAGTATGGTATAGTACAGGTACTTTCCTATTGTAACCATTGTGGCGGTCAATGACAAAAATAAACTGTACGGCAAGTACCAGCCGGCAGCCGGGTACTAATGACATACGTTCCTGACAAAGGAACAGCTTCCTGACTAAGGAGCAGCTTCCTTACAAACTTCTTTTCTCAGCTAATGCCAGACTGCACTGAGCAATGAGCTAAGTTTGCTATGTTTGGGCGTTTCCTTTGGTCCCTCCTAGCATCTACCGAGGTTTTAAATGATATCTTGTGATCCACTAATACTATATAACGGTATTGTAAAGACCACAACACAAAACTCAACGTTGAGCGAGTTTTTTACCCTGTTGGTTACTCTTAAAGTTATAGTAGGTATAACGTTAGCTCAAGTTCTAAGGACCCATGGCAAGCACGAATCAGTTGTCTGGTTTACAGCTCCGTTTCTCCACTCATGGGAGATCTTTTTTAATCAACAACAGTAATGACTTCCTGCTCAGAGTAGAATCGGCGGCAGCAAGCGTGGGACTACACATAAACGAAGGCAAGACCAAGGTCATGACACTGAATATGGAGGATCGATCTAGCGACCTACAAAGTCGATCCGGGGAAGCCATAGAAAATGTAGATGATTTCATCTACTTAGGCTCCTGGATTGAGAGCACAGATAGGGAGATAAGGGTTAGAAAGGGAAAAGCGTGGGGTGCCCTACATAGACTGAAGGATATCTGGAAATCCAAACTCTCAAAGAGCCTAAAGATTAGATTGTTCATAGCGGCTTGTGAATCAGTACTGCTCTACGGATCAGAAACCTGGACACTGACAAAGGCTCAAGAGAAAAGTTTGGACGGGACATACACAAAGATGTTGCGTATGGTGCTGGGTATCTCATGGAAGGACAAGGTCAGCAATATAACTTTGTATGGTAGCCTCCCAAGGCTGTCAAACAAGTTACGAAGCAGGAGATTAAAAATGGCGGGACACTGCATCCGACATCCTGAGCTACTTGCCAGTGATTTAGTCTTATGGGAACCTACGCACGGTAGAGCACAGCAAGGCCGACCAAGACAAAGCTACTTGTCTATGTTACTGAAGGAAGTTGGGACAAACTCTAAAGAGGAACTGCGAACCCTGATGCGGGACAGGGATATATGGAGGGGGTTTTCTGGCGTAGATCGGACTTAGCTCCGACATAGTAGTAGTAGTAATGACAACACTTTTTACTAGATGAGTGACGAGCTCGTTTATATGCTGCGATTTTCTTAACACAAAGAAAGGAGGTACCAAGACCAAAGTCATAACATAAACCATGCTTTGTTCATGAGCTTTGCAAGCAAACTCGTTGCTAAATACTTTTACAACAAGCGTTAAAACAAAGGCCATTATGCCATTACAATAAAATATATGGACAATACCCCCCCCCCCCCCAATACCCCCCCCCCCCCCCCCCCCGGTCATAGAGGCGCTAAGAACTTTAGAGAGTTGGGTCTTTAATATTATTTCTAGAACAATCTCTTTATTTGTGCTAGAAGCAAGGAATTCTTGAAATGTACGTTTTGATTTTACTCCAACTCGTTCAAGCTCTGCTCATACAGCAGAACAACTAGTAACTGCTCATCGTCGTTTCTTAATTTGATGAGGTTACAAGTTACAAAGCATGTAAACTGCCAAGTACTCACATTGGACGTGCAACTCTTATTTGTTGTGCTTCAAGTAGCTTATTATGATGCGGAAATGGCCTGAGAATCATGTAATTTTGAGTAACCAGAGTTTTTAATGTCTAAATACATCTAATATTTAACCGTCTAAAATTCTAATTATAGAACAAAAAGACGATGAAGTTAGCAAGAAAGTGGCTAGTCCTGGTGGCTACGATGAGTGCTACAACTACTGCATCAGGTACTGGTTATAGCTGAAATGAAATAAATAAATTCTAACATTTAATATACACGCTTCGACATTAAAATATACCCAACAAAGATGTACATTTAAGTCATTCAGCGAGACTTAGTGTGGAAATATCATGATTATGCACTTCTTTATTACTTTTGATAGATTTATACATATCCTAAAATATTTCTCGAGAGATTTTAGTAGAATAAGTATATTGGAATACATTCCTTGACTCCTTGAAGAAGTGGCACGGATATCCTTTCCCCCTTTTGTTTACCTTATTCCTGATAGTCGTAGACTAATGGATTGAAAGATTCAAGTCAGCCGGGTCAATTTCACAAACTGAAGAAATAATTATCTCAGATCTTATAATTTCAGATTGGATTGTACCAGAGTTAGGGACCACCTACTCTATAGCCATGAACCAAGTCCTGCAAATCAAGACTACAGCAAATCACCAGAGAGATCTAGCATTTACCTTTCTACCACAACATACAACTCACATGTTCGTCCGGTTAACATGCTCAGAACCGAACACTAACAAATGGACTTATGTCATATACCAATGCATGGAGAACACAAAGGGGCTTTATGAACTGACAGGTGTTCCAGGAGAAGCAGAAAAGGTGTGGGCAATAACCCGAACTCTGACCCACATTACCGTTCACTGCAACAGTGCACTGGTCCTGAACTTTAACTTTCATAGTGATTTCTTGGCTGGGTTTAGTAGTTGTCCAGACATATGGTCTAAAGGGTCTAACATAGTAAGCTTCGACTATAGCGCAGAAATGTATGAGCCCGGGTACATCTACATAAAAATAAGTAAGTTTACCTACTTTCTTTGTAAACCTTTAACTTACATTTCTAGTGTTCAACTTAATTAAATACTATTAAATTTAACTAGTAAATTAATACTATCAAGCTATCCATCACAACTAAATAGTAAATAGTGATCTCTCTTTCAGGAGGGATGGAGGAATGTCCCTCTCTGCCAGCCTCCTGGAGTACCAGTCTCCTAACCTCACTCTCACTTCCTGTCTACAACGGAGAACACGTGACCTTGTCCTGTAACCATGACAACTTAATGCTATCTGGTGACGAGGAGATCACATGTGTGGAGGGAGAGGAGTGGGACTACAGTGCTATTCCTGCCTGCTTCCTAAATGCAGGTACACATTTATATAAGATAACTGTGCGCGTTCTGACTGATACCCGCAACAACCCCTACCCAGTACCTAGTAACCAGTATTAGTAACCATGGTTACACCCAGTACCCACTCAACAGCACCAACCCTTAACTGCAGATATCAAAAATCCTGAACGTCCGATGAAAGATTAGCCCAATTTTACCATTAAACTATTCGTGCAGTAGCTTGGCTTTTTGCGCAGCCATTACTATAAAGCTATATTTAACGTCTCAGATAGCACAATTACAGAAATGACTTCACAATGAGTTTGTTGTTAGAGAAATTTAATGAGTAGGCTTTTTGAAGACTACGTGATATTAACAAATTTATCGATGATGAATTAAGAAGATGATTCTGATGGTTTTTAGGGACTGTTCTTTACCCAAAAAAGAAATCTGGATAAAATAATCCAAAATGGAAAAAATGGTCTATAAGATTTCTGTAAGAAAATGGCAGAATTAAGAAGAGTTCTGCCTGAAATTCTTACGATGAAAGCCTTAAAGTACTATCGTCAGTTTTAAAGTTGAAATTCAACTTACCGGTACAAAATTCTTGTTATCATTTTCCTGTTCTTTCTTTTTCTTCTTCTTTTCTCGTTTCATCTTTACGACCTCCATATTAGTTGATTCTTTTTCGAAAAATCTTGCTGCGTTTTCAATGGCTTCTGATTTTTTCGGTGGTGTCTTTGGAGTCCTAACAATCTTCGGGATTTTCTTTTTCTCTGGTTTTGGGGTTTTATTTGGGACTTTGTTCATTCCCATGTTGTCATCATCGTCTGACAAAAACTTGTAAACACGTTTAGTTTCCTTAGGCTCCTTTTTTACTTCTGGTCTTGGTTTGGAATCCGGTCTCGGTGTTTTCCTTTCTGTTTTCTTTATGGGAGATCGTTTTCCATCGGAATCGTCATCAGTACTGACAATACTTTTTACTCGGATGGGTTTTTTCTCGAGATATTTCTTTACAGGTGGAGATTTGGGTGACATGGAAGCATCCGAGTCATCATCAGAACTGAGCAAGCTCTTTGACTTGGGTTCATTTATTCTCCGCCTTTTCTGACCAGTAGCAGAATTTTTCATCGATGGCTTCTCTTCTGCTTCCTTTTCTTTCTTAGCCGCTCTGGCGTTTTCCTGAGCAAGAAATTCTTCAAACGCCTCTTTACAATCGACTAAGTTTTCCTCCGGCTCCCACGTATCGTCATCACTTCCATAGTTCTTCCACCTTACCAAATAGTATGATACTCCTTTCGTCTTCTTGGATCTGAAACATTATCTAGCTCAACAACAATTGCCTAAGGCAGTGAGTTTCAAAATTGTTTGCAGATTAAAAGCAATTAATTTTAGAGTTAAATTAACTTTTTAAGATCACTAAGTTAAGGAATCTAACCGAATAATCCTCTGCACCTCGTACTCTTCTTCTTCTTCCTCCTCCTCTCCATCTACTTCTACCTCATTTTCACCAGATACTGCAACTTCGTTTTCTTCGGTCATATTTTACTAATATAAAAAGGAGAGTAATTAATTATATTAATTAATTAATTACATTTTGTTATGTTCAGACTTGGTCTAGCTGCTGGGTTTCTCAATTCAGTAAAATTTGTTAATATAAAACAAATCGGTCAAACAAACAATTACCTATTTTATTTAGGTAATTGTATGAAAATTGAAGTATTAAAATTAAGAATTATTGGGAACATCAGAGGCAAAATATATGACATGGAAAAATAAAATTCAAAGCAGTACATTGAAACACATTATACTTCCTGGTCATACTGAAGCAGGTATGAAAAATAGAATTCTGCAGAATTCTGTGGATAAACTTAGAGATTTGTAATACATTTCCAGTTTAAACACTTGCACTTTAGATACAAATATTATGTCAATTTGAAACGGTTCGTTGTAACATGATCTGTTATCGTGAGTATCAAAAATAAAATGGAATTCTTGAAATTTATTCAAATTCACAAAACGAACATTCTTTTGTATTTCGTATTAAGCTATTCATCATAATAAAATTTGGCTACCGCCAAACAGTCAAACTTTCCAGGCCACAACTTATGTGATTGGTAAAAATTATATTATAGACAATTAAGAAAAATAATGTTCTCTCTGAAATTCACTTTCCAATATTATCAAATATACTAGGATCCACTGTGTTAGTTTCAGCAGCCATAGTTTTAAAAGCCTCCACAATCTCCTCTCTACCAAGTGACTCCTTACCTTCCTTAACAAACTTACTGATAAGGCCCTGTAAGGTGCCTTTGAGAGAGCCTATAGCTCTAGCTACATCACATTTGGCTTGGTGAGGCAGTCCCTCCAGTGTCTTTTCTAATTCCTCCTCCTCTAGCTGCCGCCGCGCTTGCGCCTTCTCCTCGTAATCATTTAGTGAATCGACTGGATCTGACACAAAAGAGATTTTCTGTTCCTTGTAAAGATCTAAACATGATTGGCATTTACATATTGTGTGTCTGAACTGGTCGTCAAAGAATAGGGCCCTGGTGATTGGTCCAGAAGCTGAATCAAATGCAAGCTTACAAGTGTTTAAACTTGTTTTCTTCCTTTTTGAAGATGGCTCACAAACTGCACTCTCATGTGAAGGTCTTTTAAGATCACCAAGTTTCCCGTCACTTTCCTCTGATTTAGTGTCCTTTGTTTCACTACTTGATTTCTCCAGGGAAGTTGAGTTGTCAGATTGTTTCTTATCAGAGTCTGTACTGGTAAGCAAATCAGACTTCACCGTTTCAACATGAGCCTTCACTTCCTTGCACTCAGCAACACTCTCATCCTTAACAGCGGAAACCTCGACAACGTCAACGTCCACATTCTCTACCTCACCTGTAATATCCGGATTGAAATATTATTTATGAGTCGCATAGTTGAAATGTTTTCTTGGGTGAAACTAAATTTCTATTGATCCCGTTTGATGCGACAAGGAAAAGGTTCTCATCAGTAAAGGAATTATTTAATAACGTTTCAATGTGTCAACATCGTATTCATGATCTAAAAACATTTCTATCAAAACTTCAAAACATAAAAAAACCTCACCTATAGCATAAACAGAGAGAAAGGAATGTTTCCCGGCACATTCCACACAAGCCATCTCCTCATACCTTTCCGGTACCACAGTGTTAAGATGGGTGGAGTGGAACCAGTCCTCACACACAAAACACTGCATCATCTCCACTGTATCCATCTCGGGCCGGTCCTCGTCCGGGTAGGGTCGGGAACACTGGCAGTACAGACCGCTGTAGTTCTGGGAGTACGTGTTGGCGCTGTTTCTGATGTCGATGTCAGTTTTTAGGGAGCATAAGAGCTGAGGAAGAGTGCCACAGTCACATCTGAAGTTTCGCTTAGTGTAGATCTCCTCTACCTGTGTAGTTGTCATGGTAACTAGTGTAGATCTCCTCTACACTACTAGGTGTTACTAAGGTGTTACTAAGTGTTACTAAGTGTTACTAAGGTGTTACTAAGGCCGCAGTCACATCTGAAGTTTCGCTTAGTGTAGATCTCCGCTACCTAAAAAACTTCCATTAACTTGATAAAATTGAGAACCAAAGCACTATTAATACAAGCACAGACAACTGACTTGAAATCTGATCTAAAGTTCGTGCTAGCTTTATATAATATGAAACATATTTTTGTCTGCTTTAAAATAATAAATAAAATTGTTTTTGTTTTCTTACATTGTGTGTCTTGTGACAGTTCATGCAGCAGGCGTGACAGAAGCCTGCCTGGACCCCTGAAGCTGGGGTAGTGCAGTCTAGACAACTGTACACAGCCTGTCGGGGGAGGTAGCCTTTATTGTAGGTACATTCTGACTCTGAAGCCCCTCCCACCACGGAGTCAACTCTGTCCATCTCAGCAAAGTAATCATTTAGATCAATCTCCTCTGACGCCATCATGTGCTTACTGAGATGAGTTTAGAATCTAAATCGAGATTAACGTAGTAACATCTAAACTTTAGATGATACTATGTTAATCTTGATATAGTGTGACAGATTCATACTTTTTAAATTTGCAAAAAAGCTTCTTATTTAGGTTTGTTGAACATATTGTATAGAATATGAACAGTGCAGTCGATATGAAACTACGGTACTGTGTTATAAAGTATAATAAAAACGACACTAATGTCTATAAAGTATAAATAAACATATTAAATGAAACAATAATTTAAATTAACAATTAACACATTAAAACTTGATTTAAAGCGTAAAGTATAGGTCTGCTTTTTAAAGACGTGAGTTTTGTAGCTAAATACCTGGTTACAACTCAACAAAGTATGACAAAAGACGTACATAAAAATAAAATTTAGATTTCTAAAGAATCCTGCCAATAAAACTGGCAATAAACAAATTTAACTTAAATTTAAGTTTAAAAAAGCAGTTAACAATGCACAAAAAGGGACGTATTAACCATTTTAACAGTGTACAGAAGATATAAACGTTAAAAGTTCCCTGATATTCTAAAACCCTATACACTAGTGTAGTTGTCATGGTAACTAGTGTAACTAAAACCCTATACACTTCAACCAAGTTTTTATCGTAGTCTTGTGATGTCCTGTTACCCAGACAGACTTTTGGTTAACAACAGATACATTTGGCAGAGGCTTCTTGAATGTTGCTAGGTTACCTGTTGCTAGGTTACCTGTTGCTAGGTTATCTGTAGCTATGTTATCTGTAGCTATGTGATCTGTAGCTATGTTATCTGTTGCTAGGTTATCTGAAGCTATGTTATCTGTTGCTAGGTTATCTGTTGCTAGGTTATCTGTTGCTAGGTTATCTGTAGCTGGGTTACCTGTTGCTAGGTTATCTGTTGCTAGGTTATCTGTAGCTATGTGATCTGTAGCTGGGTTACCTGTTGCTAGGTTATCTGTTGCTAGGTTATCTGTTGCTAGGTTATCTGTTGCTAGGTTATCTGTAGCTAGGTTACCTGTAGCTAGGTTATCTGTAGCTAGGTTATCTGTAGCTAGGTTATCTGTAGCTATGTTATCTGTTGCTAGGTTATCTGTTGCTAGCATATCTTGTAAATGTGTAACAAACATCTGGAGGGGGTTATATGTTTAGATTTGTTTAGAATAGTCAATATCATTTCAATCTAACTTCATACAAGAATTATAGAACTTTGAAAGGCTGAAAACTAATTTATATTAATTTATAATCTGAGTACTACCTGAATATTGCCAGATATTTTGCCTATTTTAGTGATGAGACCGAGTTGAGGATGCCTCACTACTGTCACCAGTACTCCCTTCTGATGGCGTGTCTTTATGAGGTAGGGTAATACTGGCACTTCAGGGTTTAATCCTGAGTCAGGGACTGTTATTTATCATCATATTTAATTTGTAGTAGTTGTACAGCAATACTAAGGTAATGGGACTACTGCGGACCCTCTACCGGCCAAAACTTTTTAACAGACATCGAACGCTCGCGCTGTAAGAAGATGACGATCAGACCTCATTATATATTTAATTTGTGTTTAATAATGATGACTTATTCAGATCCTCTGATTAGCTGGTTCATACGTAAAACATTACAACCCTTAATTTAATAAATCTAAAAGAAGCTAACTTCTGACTCTAAAATTGACGAAGGGCATAGTATCTCCAGTAACCATAGCAGCAGTTATACCCACTGTGTTCATAAAGGCAGGAACTGTTTTTACACATAACGCGTCCGCAAATACTTCGAATCTAAAGTGAGAGACAAGTTAAGTTAAAATAAATCGTTTTTAAATGTAAGGTTGAGAAATAACCCAGAAAGTAAAAGTTTGTATTGATTTTTGTCGATTAGGATAAAGTTAACACTCAAAGCTTGGAATAGACATTAGAATTTTTCTGAAGCATTAAAGAGTTACCTGTTACGTTTAATCTTGATAGTAAGTTGAAATAAGTTGTGACCACCAGCTCTAAAATCAGAATAGAAGCGGTGGTGGTGTTTCCCGTCGTAATAGTGGTTTGTGCGCATGGTGCGCGCGAATGGGTAAAACACAAACAAGACGGAGTGCTTTGCGTTTGATAAAGCTAGACCGTATCTGAAAGTTATTATGGAAATTAAATATAGCGTTTAATATTAGTTAGTAACTGAAAGTAATTATGGAAATTAAATATAGCGTTTAATATCAGTTAGTATCAGAAAGTTATTATGGAAATTAAATATAGCGATTAATATTAGTTAGTGTTTACCCTGTTTATGTCAATAATAAACGTAACAATTCCATGATATGGATTTGAATGGTGGGTATTATCACCCCATTCATAAGTTCTATTGAAATTAATCGATCTTATTAAATTAGAACATGCTTAATAACATAACGGACAGCAGTTTTACAGAACTCTAAATGCTTAATGAACACACTTGCAGGTACCACCCGTATTCACACTCAGAATTGAGTTTCTTCATTTTCCGATACGAGATTGGGACGGGTTCTATAAACAAACAAACAAACAAACAAACAAACAAACAAACAAACAAACAAACAAACAAACAAACAAACAAACAAACAAACAAACAAACAAACAAACAAACAAACAAACAAACAAACAAACAAACAAACAAACAAACAAACAAACAAACAAACAAACAAACAAACAAACAAACAAACAAACAAACAAACAAACAAACAAACAAACAAACAAACAAACAAACAAACAAACAAACAAACAAACAAACAAACAAACAAACAAACAAACAAACAAACAAACAAACAAACAAACAAACAAACAAACAAACAAACAAACAAACAAACAAACAAACAAACAAACAAACAAACAAACAAACAAACAAACAAACAAACAAACAAACAAACAAACAAACAAACAAACAAACAAACAAACAAACAAACAAACAAACAAACAAACAAACAAACAAACAAACAAACAAACAAACAAACAAACAAACAAACAAACAAACAAACAAACAAACAAACAAACAAACAAACAAACAAACAAACAAACAAACAAACAAACAAACAAATCTAACATAACGGACCCTTTTCCAGGAGCGGTGGGTTGATTGTCTACCCTCAGTTTAATTTCATCATCCAACATAGAACCTCCGGGTATAGGATACAATACGTCACTAGTTAGAGGTTGGATGTACTGGCAGTACGTGTAGATAGCTGTGGAGGGGCATTTGTTAGCTTTTTGAGTTTTTGTTCTTTGCTAGACGAAATGCAGACAAATGGGGAGCTATTTTAATAAAAGGAATATTTATGACCATTGCAGCGCACAGTGAGCCCACATTGCAGCGAAAGGGTGAGCAGTATGATAATGGGGACCTATTCAAGAGTCGCATTGATTCAACCATCACCATGGTGACCATTGATCTGAATCACCATGGTGACCATTGATCTGAATCATCACCATGGTGACCATTGATCTGAATCATTTACTGCTGGAATTTCTCTTTTTCCTCTGTTTGCGAACTCAACAATCAAAATATATTAAAAACGAGCAGGAAACAGAACCCCATTTGCATTCGATTGCAAGTAAAATCAATTGAACAAATTCTCACGTTCAAACTGGAAAGAGTCCTCATCATCCTCACTAACTTCCATATCACTGTAGGATTTAGGTTTGTCTGCTTCTTCAACCTGTATTATATCTGCATCTTCTCTTTTCACCACGTCTACCCCTGCAATCTTAAGCATCATGTCTGCATTCGAAGGCATTTCTTCTGCAGTTATATCAACTTCAGTTGCTGCCTTCAGCTCTTCCAACTTTAGCAGCTCCTCTTCCAACCTCTTCTTTGCCTCTTCGTCTACTTTCTTTAGTTCCGCTATTTTACTGGCTTTCTTTTCCTCGTGCCTGCAAATATAAATAGATAAATATATAATCAATATTTATTAGAAATACTAGCGAGGGTAAAATTATAAATGTTGGATTGAAGGAAACCTGCATAATATCTAATATTATATTTAATAATAGTTACATATAAATTAACCTGTTATGTTTTACCATCTCCCGTTTAACCATGGCAGGAATAGTGGACTCTCCAAGTTTACATTCTTGTACAGGTAAGACAAGCTCTTCAAACCCCTGCCTAAACACTTTAGAAAACGCAACTCTGACGTCTGGGGTCGATGAGTTTGGGTCTGGCCGATGTATTGATGTACTGGGGATGGGGAGTTATTGATAGAGTATACCAAATTAAAGGAGGGGAAGATATTCAAAGTAGAAAGAGTTAATTTCAATTTATTAAACGCTTTCACCTAAGAATAATTAACTTAAAAAAATTTAATTCAACACCCTGTACATAGTACAATGTAAAATATAAGAAGATTGTAGGGGAATGCTTACTTGCAACAATTGTAAAGTTTGATGACGGTTCTGAGAGACAGATCCCACTCGCTCCAGTCGTACCCTCCGTACAGTACACAGTGCTGTCTCAACTTCTCCTCGAACTCTACCATGTTCTCAAAGTTTACTTTACCGACGTTCGGTGCTACAAACTTCTCTATCCTGGAAAATTAAAGCAATGCTAACTTTCATCTGATATTCAGGCAATGCTAAGTGCTAACTTTCATCTGATATTTTTTCGTCAACTTTTTTTTTAAAGAAAAAATTTTGCTAAGCATTCTTATTGTGATTGAGTTGAAGACTCGGAATAAGCTGTGATGTAGAATAATCGGATGTCTCGATTTTAAAAGGCAGTTGATGGAAATCTAGCGTCCGCCTATATTGGTCTAACGGGCGCAATTCTTGTTGTTATACAGGCAATATTAATATGTTGAAGCTATGGTATCCGTACTCTAATCTAACATCTAATGTTGTGCATGATTATTGGCACGATTACATGTACCGCAAAACGTAAATACTTTTAAACTATAAATAGTATTTAAAAATTCATAGTTTAAAGTTGTACTCACCCCACAAGAAGGGCTCTCAACTTAGGATCGAACGTGACCAGGTCTCCCTTCCCCATAGTCAATATCTTCACACTCCCCACCACATAACGTACCACCTGGGGGTATCCAATAGTGAAAAATGGTATCCAATGGTGTGAAATGGTGTAAAATGGTGTAAAATGGTGTAAAATGGTGTAAAATGGTGTAAAATGGTGAATGATTTTTATGGTGAATCGGGTTTCCAAATTGTAAACTTTCACCCTATTTTTCACCTTCTTCCAGTCTACCAGGGTCTGTACTGCTTTCTTTATAGCGAAGCTGCACTTCAGCTCCTGGACCAGCTTTTCAAACTTTACAGTTTTGTTGGGCGCCCACATTGTGTTAGCGACCACGTACTTCTCTATCCCTTTAAACTTAGACCTGCAATGTGAGACACGCTTATAAACATACTTATTATACAAAGTGAAAGCGAAAGTATTTTATTTTTCAGCAGACAAAGTGAATAGTGAGAATTATACGCAGCAGAATTTTGAAAAATTTTGAAGTATTATTTATTTTTATATATTTTAAAATAGATAATTTATTCATTGGTAGATTGGGGAGACCTAGAATGGGCAAGTTTCCATGAATAAAATTTTATTATGAGCGCTCATTGTCGCCTACTGAGCGCTTATTTAGCGATTATAATCGGTTTAGGCTGTTTATAATCGCTTTTATAGCGATTATAATTGATTCAAATAAAAGCGCTCATAACCGATTATAATTGCTGTAAATATTTTTAAAAGCGATTACCTTATTTTTTTAGCGCTTATAATCGCTTTTTGGTCGTTTCTAATCGATTAAATCGCTTCGAAAGCGATTTTTCCAAGAATAAAGCGATTATAAGCGCTGGAAAAGCGGCCGCTCAGAAAAGCGCTTATAAGCGCCGTTTATAAGCGATAAATAAGCGATTATACGTTGACTGCAATTTAGCCTTTTTGAAAGCGCCTACTGAGCGACTACAGAGCGCTTTTTTGAAAACCACTTATAAGCGATTTTTATCGCCAATTGTCGCTCCTTGTCGCTTATTGTCGCTTTTTATTTTACCGCTTTTTACCGCTTTTTCAATCTTTTCCACCGCTTTTTACCGTTTTTCCTATCAACATGGTTCTAAACGTGGTTGCACAAAAAAGCGCTTATAAGCGCTTCTTTTTAATACCGGCTGGAATGGAATTGAAAAGCGCTTATTAGCGATTATAATCGCTTTTTTATTCACCGTTCTTTACCGCTTACCCCATCAACATGATTCGGACCTTTACTGATAGTTGAAATTCGACATATGAAGTCATCTAGTGTCATCTAGCGTGAAATATCGCCAGATGATGATAGATGACGCTAGATGACGCTATATGACGATAGGCACGCTATATGACGCCAGGCGACAGATAGCGCTATTTTCATAAAAATTCTAGGGACGACATCTAGCGTCATCTTGATCTAGTGTCATATATTGCCGCGACATCTGACGCTATCTGACGCCATCTAGCGACATCTGATGACATCTGACGACATCTGACGCGACGACATCTGACGCAGGCGATATCTGACGCAGGCGACATTAAGCGATGGATAGCGGGATAAGTCAGTTTACGACAATTCACGCTATCTAGCGCTATATAGCGCCAGATAGCGCTATATAGCGTCAAATGTCGTTGCGACATATAGCGCTAGATAGCGTCAGATGTCGTTGCGACATATAGCGCTAGATAGCGTAAGATAGCGCTAAATAGCGTTAGATAGCGCTAAATAGCGAAGAATTTCGGGTCGTGACAGTCCAGGCTATTTAGCGCTAGATGTCGCTATCTAGCGCTATATGTCGCTGCACGTCAGATGTCGTTGCGTCATATAGCGCTAGATAGCATTAGATAGCGCTCCGTCAGATGTCGTCGCTACATATTACATATCATATATAGCACAAGATATCCATAGTTGGTCAGTTCGTACAAAAGTCGTAAAAAATTCGTACAGTTCGGCACCTTTTTTCAGTTCGGGATTAGTTCGGGAAAAATTCGCCTCATAAATTTTCGAACTTGGATTTAATCGAAAGAACTTAAATTAACTCAGATGTCAGGCCTTTGATAGATAAGTACCTTTTCAAACGACCGGTGCTTTTAGTGAGGTTAAAATACTCTTTATCTACCAGTACCTACCATTATCACGAAATCAGATATGAGTCAAGATTTATTTTATGGTTTAAAATCATTAAGAATTTTGTTCAAAGAAAGCGACCACTAAAAATAATTTTCATTTGACGCAATATCATTGATTTTGATTGGATTTCTTTGCGATATCACTACTAATATATCATAGAGATCAGGATTGATGCTACAGCACTCATTAAACGATTGCATTTTATAAACCAGATTTTAAAGTTATTTAATTGAATTGAAAAGCTGTTTCTAAAACAACCGTTCCATAGGTGCACAGCACATCGAAAAGTAGAAAATTCAGTGCTGAACTTTTATAGATGAACGTGCAATTTAAAAGAGATCGACAACTTTGTAAAGCAGATTATAATTACATATAGTATTCCCACTCCCGATACATCTCAACCTGTGAGAGGGTATATTCTTGCCATTAGTTTAACTGCGTCAAACTTACGATGGTCTAGACGCGATATTTTCTCCTGCGTGGTGCTATATAACGAGAATTACATAACAGAGATTTTATTTTATTTTATACTCCAAATAGTCGGCATCAGTTTGTGACTGACTTTTATACCACTGTACATCAGGGGTCGCTCCTATAATGAAATTTACCAAGGCAAGAATGCCTCCCTCCGTGACAAGTAACACTGTTCACTATATCATACATCCCAAGACTGAACATCACTGAACTTGGAAATGTTTTGGGCTGGGAAAACTATGTGCTCTATATAAATATAATCGCTGCTATTGACTTCTTCCTCGCTATAATCGGTGAGTATTATTAACGAACGAATCTAGTATATATTATAACCAATATATACTAATAATCTCAATAGATGTGTGTGTGTGTGTCTGTCTAGTGTCTGTCTGTCTGTATAGTGCCCAAATAGTGCCGACAAAACTCTGACGAAGCCAAATGATTAAGGTTTTTCAAATCGGTCGGTGGTAAGTGGTTTAAAATTCGGTAAAAATTCCTCGACAGCTTTTTAAAATTCGTACAGTTCGGCACCTTTTAAAAGTTCGTACAGTGCGTACTGACCAACTATGAAGATATCATATCCTATCACAGTAACAGTAACAGTAACAGTAACAGTAACAGTAACAGTAACAGTAACAGTAACAGTAACAGTAACAGTAACAGTAACAGTAACCCTGTGTGTGTGTGCGTGTGTGCGTGTGTGTGTGTGTGTGTGTGCGTGTGTGTGTGTGTGTGTGTGTGTGTGTGTGTGTGTGTGTGTGTGTGTGTGTGTTTGTGTGTGTGTGTGTGTGTGTGTGTGTGTGTATGTGTGTGTGTGTGTGTGTGTGTGTGTGTGTGTGTGTGTGTGTGTGTGTGTGTGTGTGTGTGTGTGTGTGTGTGTGTGTGTGTGTGTGTGTGTGTGTGTGTGTGTGTGTGTGTGTGTGTGTGTGTGTGTGTGTGTGTGTGTGTGTGTGTGTGTGTGTGTGTGTGTTACTCATACTGGGGCCGTAAGCGCAGCCTGTTTTTTTCCACCCAATATTTTTTGTTATTTTTATTTTGTATGAAAATTAATTTTTACTGTGTATGAAAATTAATTATAATTTAAGTGAGAATGATATAACTATAAGCTTCCGCGTCTAAGTCACCCAACTTTTTTTTTTTATGTTGGGGCACCCACTTTACCTCCCTATTGGGAGGCTACGTCCGTCAGTTAGTGACTAACGTCTATTGGGGTTCCTGGTTGTAGGTGTCAGTAGGTTTGGGTCACTTGGCATGGGCTAGTGATCCCGCCCCTCCAGAGGATAAAGCCTGGTGAGCGACATTTCCCGTAAGGGAAACTGTCATAATGCTCGTTCACGGGAGAACACCACCCATGCCTGGATGTTCTCCAGGGTACTCGATAGAACAGGCTGCCCCCTGTCATTCTAGTGGGCTGACAGGAACCTACCAGGCATGCCTGAGCCTCGGATGGAATTCACCCATATCTTTGTTGTTTTTGTGTTATATCTTTGTCTTTGCGCGGCTCAATTTCCGCGCTATACTAAAGTGCTGATTCACGAATTTACATGCGATATTTGAATTTTGAGTAGACCCTTTTTTGTCGCAATTTGGCAATTTCTTTGTTCACGTAATTATTGCTAATTTTACGTTTGATGGTAATAATCTAAGTGCTATATCTCCAATAGCTGGCAGTTTGTCTGATTGTTAGATCCCCTCTAACTGGTAGCGGCCCTAAGGCTGGCAGTTTGTCTGATTGTTAGATCCCCTCTAACTGGTAGCGGCCCTAAGGCGGCATGTGAGTGAATGAGTGAGTAATAAAGTGAGGTGTAGGAGAAGTGGGGAAAAAACATGAATATGAAAGTATGGTACACTGTTGCCAGCTGACTCACCAGCACAATGCAAGTCCAAGGAGAAAGAAGGAGAGACACTGTCCGTTATCTGGGTGTGCCACCACCGACAGTGCTCCCACTTCTGTGGGGCCGAGGGTGTTGGCTCCAAGAACCAGCCGTGAGCGAACAGCGCCTGACCCCCTCTATGGTTAACTTTAGAATAACAGGACTATGCTTTTCTCCAGGCCAATCCGTTCAGTAACCAGCTGACCCAGCACCACCTCTGATGGAAGATGTGGTTCGGATTGGACTTCGCTAGGATTTGTCAGTTTTTCTGTAGACACTAATGCTCCCTCGAGGAAAGACATGAGCCCCGGCGAAGCTGACCAAAAACGTGGCAGGGATTCTCACCCTATAAGTCACCCAACTATTACACTCGATTAAGTCACCCAACTATTACACTCGATTAATTAAATATTCAGCTGAGTGGAACAAAATATTAAATATCACCTATAATCAAGGGGTCGTTTACATATTATAATTACTAGCAGGAACCCGTCTACCCTAAAGTGGTGTCAAGACTCGAGAGAATAAAATAATTATTACCTATTTAATTCGCGTTTTTGACACCACTTGGGAGTCCAAATTTTGGGCACTAAAATTCTCATTCCTTGGCCAATTTTTAATTTTTTCATGCTGATTTAAAGGCCATTAAAGCATTTGACCCAGTCAAAAAAGTTTCAGTTGTATATTTTTTACGGTTTTTGCGGAAACTCGCGTTAAAGTTGATGGCCTGGTGTCAGTAAAATGGCACGGATATATCCACATATATATATATATCGTCTCGCTTTATATATAGTAAGATATAAGGGGCCCGATGCCGCCGGCCGGGGTTTTCCAAATTATGACGCTTACTAGTGTGATTGTGACATAATACTAATAGCAGAA